ACTGGTTGTTTCTTTCTGTGTGTAATGCCTCTTTTAGAAGCTCTTGTAAAGCAGGCCTGGTGGTAATAAAATCTCTGAGTACTTGCTTGTTCATAAAAGATTTTATTTTTCCTTCAGTTGTGAAGCTTAGTTTGGCTGGATATGAAATTCTGGGCTGAAGGTTCTGTTCTTTGAGGATGTTGAATATTGGCCCCCACTCTCTTCTGGCCTGTAGAGTTTCTGCTGAGAGATCTGCTGTAAGTCTGATAGGCTTGCCTTTGTGAATAACCTGACCTCTCTCTCTGGCTGCCCTTAGTATTTTCTCCTTCGTTTCAACCCTGGTGAATCTAATGATTATGTGCCTTGGGGTTGCTCTTCTTGAGGAATATCTTTGTGGTGTTCTCTGTATTACCTGGGGTTGAATGTTGACCTGCTTTGCTAGTTTAGGAAAATTTTCCTGAATAATATCCTGAAGGGTATTTTCCAGCTTGGATTCATTCTCTCGGTCGCATTCAGGTACACCTATCAAATGTAAATTTGGTCTTTTCACATAGTCCCACATTTCTTGGAGACTTTGCTCATTCCTTTTATCCTTTTATCTCTAATCTTGTCTTCTTTCATTAAGTTGAACTTTGACCTCTGTTATCCTTTCTTCTGCTTGAACAATTCGAGTGTTTAAACCTGTGCATACTTCTCGGAGTTCCTGTATTGTATTCTTCAGTTCCATTAATTCACTTATATTCCTCTCTAAGTTGTCTATTCTCACTAGGATTTCGTCAAACCTTTTTTCAAAGTTCCTAGTTTCTTTACGTTGGGCTACAACATGTTTTTTTAACTCACAGAAGTTTCTTATTATCCATTCCATGAAGAGTGATTCTGTCATTGGGATGCGCTCCTTCTCGGTCAAGCCTTGTTCCATTGTTGATCAAAGATAAAACTGTGATCATCTTTAGAGGGAGAGGCGTTCTGATTTTGAGTATTCTCAGCCTTTTTATGCTGGTTTCTTCCCATCATTGTATATTTATCCTCCTGTCTTCTTTGAAATTACCAACTTTCAGATTAGGTCTCTTGATTGGATGTCCAAGTTGTTAGTTCCCAGGGCCAGAACGGCCTTGTTAAGACTGATGGTGCTTTTCTGCCCAGGATTCTCCTGTCTGGCTTCCTTCTTGTGTCCGTAATGGGCAACTCTGCCTTCCCCGGGCTCCAAACCTCGGTCAGAAGGGGAACCAGTCTCGTTTACTCTGCACAGAGCTGCCGCGCTGAGGTGCCGTCACAGCCGCTGCGCCGGTCTCAGGAGTCGTGCTGGGGACCCGTGTGGGTCCTCCAAACCTCGGTCAGAAGGGGAGCCGGCCCTGTTTACTCTGCTCCGAGAGCTGCCGTGATGAGGTGCCAGCAAAACCGCTGCACCGGCCACAAGAGTTGCGCTGGCGACCCGTGTGGTTCCTCCACTGGAGATCTTCTGCTCCCTGAGCGACCAGAATTTGTCTGAAAGTGTGGCATCCTCTAGTTCTGTGCTTTGACTGAGAGCTGCAGTCCCGAGCTGTTATCGATAGGCCATCTTGGATCGTTCCTGGGTTACCTCTTTATGCCTCAGTTTCCTCAACTGCAAAATGGGGATAATGCTTTCCTGCCTGCTTCAGACAGGTGAAAAGAAATGAGAATAATACCTATATCTAATACTGTTGCTGGCAAAACAAAAAGGTTTATAAAATGTCTAGGAGTTCTTAGTAGACGTTAGCAGTTACCGTTATTAATAATATGTCCAGGAGCCAACGCTTTATCTTCAGATCTCTAGCACTGTTGCAGAATACCAGATTTGAAGCTGAGTTAAATTCAGACCTTTAGTGTATGACTCAGCTTTAGAATGTAGGTGTCCAAAAAGACTTCCCCTCCACCTGTATCATTTTCCTTTTAAACAGAATCTGAGTCAATATATTAGGTTAGCCCTGTTCTAATGGTCCTCTCCTTTAGTAACTTCTTATAAAAAATAAAAATAGGCCGGGTGCGGTGGCTCACCCCTATAATCCCAGTATTTCGGGAGGCCAAGGAGGGTGGATCACGAGGTCAAGAGATCGAGACCATCCTGGTCAACATGGTGAAACCCTGTCTCTACTAAAAATTTAAAAATAAGCTGGGCATGGTGGTGCATGCCTGTAATCCCAGCTACTTGGGAGGCTGAGGCAGGAGAATTGCTTGAACCCAGGAGGTGGAGGTTGCAGTGAGCGGAGATTGTGCCATTGCACTCCAGCTTGGGTAACAAGAGTGAAACCCCGTCTCATAAATAAATAAATAAAAGAAGAAGAAATGAGGTTGAAATTCAAGGTAAAACCAAAGTAATTCTTTCTCAAGTTGCAGCAGATGGAGTTTTTGTATTTTCCAACAGGTCTGTTAAGCACAAAGAAGTCTAGTTTTTTAACTTAGAAATGCCACTTAACAGAAGGCTAAGGTAGTAGGATTCCTTGGGGCCAGAGCTCAAGATCAGCCTGGGAAAAATAGATACCTGCCCCCAACCCCCAAATTAAAATAAAAGTACAAAATATCTGGGTGAGGTCATGCATTCCTATAATCCTAGCTACTTGGGAGTGGAGGTGGGAGGACTACTTGAGCTCAGGAGTTGGAAACTGGACAACAGAGCAAGACTCATCAGAAAAAAGGAAAAAAAGGAAGGAAGGAAGGTAAGGAAGGAAGAAAGGAGGAAGGAAGGGAAGAGAAATGCCACCACTTTAAACTGGTTCCCATCAACCTGTTTGATACAAAGAAATTGTACTTTTGATAATCTGTTATTTTAGACCACTATATCAGTTGGTCTATGTGACTACGTGGCATGATAACCTAGAATTTATGCCTTGAAATAATTTTGATTCATTTTTTTCCCACATCTGCATTTATGAGCAGGAGCAGCGGTGGGGTGGTTCTTTATGTGGGATTAAGAGACACTGCAGTTCTTGAAATGAACCAGATGTTTGAATTTTCAAAGGAAAAGTTCACACCTAGTGAAGTATTTACTCACAAGCTCCACAACAAAACAAGAGATTATAAGAAAACTTTCAGGGGACATGGGTCATGGAAACCAACAGAAACACTACAGCTTTCCCAACTTCATGGCCCAGGGGATGTTGCAAAAGACATAGAAATGCTGATCTTGTGCTGGCTGTAAAAATTTGTAAACTAGTGTTACAATGACTAAGAAACAGAAGAGTTACACTCTGAAGAGATTCCTGCTTTGACTTTATTTCTATCCGCTTTCCCAACATATCTTATAAAATATATGCAAATAACCGGTTTTAGAAAACATTCCCTAAAATTAGTGTGTATAGAAACTTCAGGGATACTTCTGCTTTACTCCTCAAAGCCACCATGTTTTAAAAATCGAAAGTGAAATTAGTCCTAACTTTTTTTTTCTGTTAGTGACTCACAGGGGACACCCAGTTTAGTATTTGAGCAGTGTTTAAGGGCTAAAGAAAAATCGCCGTTAGCAGTTTTCTTTTTCACTGTCTTTTTCTTTTTTCGAGGAACCGAGCTGTTCCCTGAGAGGGCCACCTCCTCAGGACGACCCCCCCCAGCTCTCCGCAGCGCCGGCTTCGGAAAAACGCGGGCCGTCCCCTACCAGTCCCTCCGTGGGTTCCGGCGTCCCGGGCGCAGCTGTTTTCCAGGAAGTGGAGGCGCGCTGGGCCTCCGGGAGCTGCGGTCGGCGGGTGGACGCGGGTGAGTGGGGAGTCCGTTCCCCGGCTGCCACCCCCCGCCGCTGGCAGTCCCGGGCTGGAGAGCAGCGGGTGGAAAGGGAGGCGGAAGACGGCAGCGCCTACGGGAGTGGGGCAGCACCGAGACCCTGCTCCCGGAGCTGCCCGCAGCCGCGTCGCAGAGGCTACCCCGCCCGTCGAGGGGGCGCTCCTGCTCCTGGGCCCGCTGGGCAGTCTCTGGGCCGCCAGGGCTTCGAACCCTGTCCCTTGTTTGCTTTGCTTCATTCAGGAAATTGAAACAAAGTGATTTGTGTTTCCTCGCTGTTTTCTCGGAGTGTCTCAAGAGATAGTTCCTAGGACAGCGGGTTTCTTAAAACGATTCTTGGCAGAGGCAGAGTTGTGCAGTCATGGCTCGCGTTTCAGAATAGGCAAGGTTTTTCTTGAAGGTACTATGTTCCCAGTCTGTACAACAGGCAGGCTTTCTATCGCCTTTCTTTCTTTTTGCTGCCAGGCATACGTATAGGAAGATTGGATTCTACACGGCCTAGCACCGCAGTGATATAACCGTATTGGGGAAATACGGTCATAATGATTTGTATGAGTTTTTAAATTCTCCGCCATAACAAATTACATGGATTTAGTGACTTAAACACATAGGCGCGCGCACACACACACACACACACACACACACACTCTTTACTGTTTTAGGATTCTGTAGCAGTCCTGCTGAGGTCTCACTGGGTTAAAATCAAACTGTTGGCAGGGTTGCCTTCCTTTCTGGAAGCTCTCGGGGTGAATCCCCTTTCCAGCTTCTGGAGGCCACCTACGTTACTTGATTCAGTCGCCCTTCCTCCATCTTCAGAGCCAGCAACATTCTGTGATCACATCTCACTCTTAACTCTCTTCTTCTGTCTTCCGCTTTCACTTTTAAGTATCCTCATGATTACACTGGGCCCCCACAGATAATCCAGGGTGATCTACATATTTAAAAGCAAACTGACTAGCAACCTGAATTCAATCTGCAGCCTTAATTCTCTTCTGCAATGTAAACTAACATAATCACAGATTCTTGGAATTAGGATGTGGAGATCTTTGAGGGAGCCATTGTTTTGCCTGCTACATGGTTGCATAAGAGGAATGATGGTACATCCCACTCAGGCAAAGAGCGAAAGTATCCAGATGTTAAAATGCCAAAGGGGTTCTGGGGTGTTATATAGCAGATCATTTATGCTGAGAGCTTTTATTACAGGCTCTTAGGAATATTGGCATTGTCACAATAATAAAAATAAAGAAGCAATTAAATAACATTGCAGTTTCTCTCTTCTGAAATGTAATAAGAGGACTTCATATGCATGTGATGTCCTGAGTACAACAAATACTCAAACAAGATAATACATAATTCTCTAAATAGAATGTTTTCAGTGTGTAAGTTTATATGGAGAAAGTGCTCTGAAGGTCTGCAGGGAGGAGTAGACATGGTCCCAGCCCTCAACATCTTTAATGACATGTCATGGAAAATGACACAGGTACAAACATAATTAAATCACCACAAAAGGGATAAAGGATGGGGAGTAACATACTTTTGGGGAACAGAAAAGGCTTCAGAAACTTGGGGAAAATTTGGAATGGACCTTGAAGCACAGTAAGATTTCATGAGATGATGATTAAGGTTGGGAGAGGAGGAAGGATGTGAGAATTTGAGGGACAGGAAAGAAAAGGAACTGTCCAAGTGTTCAGTGTGGTTAGGAAACTGGGTTGAGGAATTGCCTAAGGCTAGAAAGTGGGTTGGAGTTAGGATGTATCAGACCATGGCTGACCGCTGTTAGGAAGATTCTGCAGTTGTTGATATAATAGTGATCTATATGTACATATGTATGTATGTGTATGTCTGTGTGTGTGTGATGTGGTTTAAAAAATATATATATATGTCATCTCAAACTTACAGAAAAGTTGCAAGTACAGTAAAACAACTTTTCTTTTTCCTAAATTATTTAAGAATAGATTTCCAATCTGATGACCTATCACCCTTCATTATATAGCTGAGTATATATTTCCTACAAAAAAGATATAACCACAATACAGCCATCAAAATCAGCAAATTAGTAGAGCTACAATACTACAATTTAATAATCAGATCCAATGTGAATTTCACTAAGGTAGGTGGCTTCTGGAAGCTGGAAAGGGGATTCATCCCAAGAGTTTCCAGAGAGAAAGGCAACCCTGCCAACTCTTTGATTTTAACCCAGTGAGACCTCAGTAAGACTGCTACAGAATCCTAAAACAGTAGAGAGTGTGTGTGTGTGTGTGTGTGTGCCTATGTGTTTAAGTCACTAAATCCATGTAATTTGTTATGGCAGAGAATAAAAAAACGAATACAAATCATTATCACTGTATTTCCCTAATCAGTCATACCACTGTGGTGCCAGGCCGTGTAGAATCCAATCTTCCTATAAGCGTTCCTGGCAGTAAAAAGAAAGAAAGGTGATAGAACGTCTGCCTGTTGTACATACAGACTGGAAACAGTATTCCCTTCGGATGACTCCTTTAAAAAAAACCTTGCCTGTTCTGCAACGCGAGCCATGACTGCACAACTCTGCCCCTGCCAAGAATCATTTTCTTAAGAAATTTGTTTTCCTAAGAGTTATCTCTAGAGACACTCCGAGAAAACAGCGAGGAAACACAAATTATTTTATGTTTCAATTTCCTGAATGAAGCAAAGCAAACAAGGTGCGAAGCAAACAGGGTTCGAAGCCCTGACGGCCCAGAGACTGCACAGCGGGCCCAGAAGCAGGAGCGCCCCCTCGACAGGCGGCGTAGCCTCTGCGACGCGGCTGCGGGCAGCTCCGGGAGGAGGATCTCAACCCCAGTGTTGCCCCACTCCGGTAGGCCCTGCCGTCCCCCGCCTCCCTTTGCGGATGTCTTGAATAGTGTAGGGGTCTAGGGGAAACTTCCCCTTTGCTCTTTGAAGGGCAAAGGCAGATTAAATAGGAGAAATGGCATATACATTTATTAATGTGCACGGGGAAAAAATCACAGTAATTATACTACTGTACAAATGGGGTACAGATGGTTATATTCCCTACTTTTTAGGAGAAAGGGAGATTGGGAAGTGTGGATGATTATAGGGTTAGTAAATGGTTTTTAAGGGAATTCAAGGGACTTGAAAAACATACAACGGCCTTGGACAAAGCCTGTTGGGCTTGCAGAGCAGACAGTGGTTGTAACAAAAGTCTCTCTAGGTTTGTTGACGGACTTTGGACTTCTTTCTGTGATATGAATTCAGTTAATAAAAACTCAGGGGGCCGGGCGCGGTGGCTCACGCCTGTAATCCCAGCACTTTGGGAGGCCGAGGCGGGCGGATCACGAGGGATCGAGACCATCCTGGCGAACATGGTGAAACTCCGTCTCTTTTTTTTGCCAATCTCTTTGAGCTTATGAGGTTGCTCAGTTTAGCCTTGAACTCATGACCTCGCCTTCACAAGCGCCACGACCTCCGGCGGGAGCCACTTTGGCCCCCAACTCCGTCTTTACTGAAAAAAAAATACAGGCCGGGCGCGGTGGCTCAAGCCTGTAATCCCAGCACTTTGGGAGGTCGAGGCGGGTGGATCACGAGGTCAACAGATCGAGACTATCCTGGTCAACATGGTGAAACCCCGTCTCTACTAAAAATACAAAAAAATTAGCTGGGCATGGTGGCGCGTGCCTGTAATCCCAGCTACTCCGGAGGCTGAGGCAGGAGAATTGCCCGAACCCAGGAGGCGGAGGTTGCGGTGAGCCGAGATCGCGCCATTGCACTCCAGCCTGGGTAACAAGAGCGAAACTCCGTCTCAAAAGAAAAAAAAAAAAAAATACAAAAATTAGCTGGGCATGGTGGCTTGTGCCTGTAGTCCCAGCTACTCGGGAGGCTGAGGCAGAATTGCTTGAACCCGGGAGGCGGAGGTTGCAGTGAACCGAGATCGCGCCACCGCACTCCAGCCTGGCCCCTGACGACAGAACGAGACTCTGTCTCTAAACAAACAAACAAACTCAGGGAAGGGACTAGAGGTAATTGTTTTGTTTTCCGGCAGGTCCCAAATTTAAGCAGATAAGAGAATCAGTGCACCTTCGTCTGGTGCTTTGGGAGAGACAGAGGAGGAGGGGGAGGTCAGAGAGACCTTGAGGCATCTTCAGTTCAGCATGTCAAAGTGCCATACTTCGGGGTATCAGTTTCTGAGCCCCGGTGATAGCAGAAGGATCCAGCTCAGAATCATACTTTGTATTCAGTTGTGACGTCTGTTTAGTCTCAGTGTGGACATTTTTTAGTCTTTCCTTGGCCTTCTGAACTTGAAACTTTTGAAGAGAACAGGGCAATTGTATTGAATAACATCTCGATTTGAGTTTGTCTGATGTTTCCTCATGCTTAGATTCAGGTTATGCATCTTTGGCAGGACGATCATCGAAGTCACGTTGTGTTCTCAGTGCATCCTGTAACATGTTACATTATTTTGATTTATTCCATCATTTACTTTGATTATCTCATTATGTTGATATCTGCCAGGTTTCTCCAGTGTAAAGTTACTCTTTTCCTCTTTGAAAGTAATAAACACTTTGTGAGCTGGGCGTGGTGGTTCACGCCTGTAATCCCAGCGCTTTGGGAGGCTGAGGCGGGCAGATCACGAGGTCAAAAGATCAAGACCATCCTGGCCAACATGGCGAAACCCCGTCTCTACTAAAAAAGTACAAAAAATTAGCCGGGCGTGGTGGTGCATGCCTGTAGTCCCAGCTACTCGCAAGGCTGAGGCAGGAGAATTGCCTGAAACCGGAAAACGGAAGTTGCAGTGAGCCGGGATTGCACTACTGCCCTCCAGCCTGGCAGTAGAGCAAAACTCTGTCTCTATCTCAGTAAACACTTTGTGGGGAAGAATTTTGAAGGTCACTAAAAATTCCGTTCCTCACCAAAATTTCTAATTTATCTGGATGTAGTTTTCTACTTTAATCAACAGATTTAATCAGTACTACCATTATCCATTTTAATCTTTAATTTTTTTCGCAGATTTGGTCACTGAAAACCATCTCAAGCTGGATTCTGTGTCCTTTTGACATGTTGTCATCATTCTTTAAGCATTTCCTTGCTTTTTGGTGTCATAAGATGTCCCAGGCTCATCTTGCAGTTTTTCTGTCCTGGTTTTGGGATCAACCATTTCTCTAAAGAGTCCTGGTTCCTTCTAGTGGAGAATGGTATCAGAAACCAAAGTCTGGGTGCTGAGTGTGCTCATTGCTCATTGTGGTTGTCTCTGCTCTCAGGCCTTCTCAGCAGACAGAACTGGGGTATATATGTATTTGTATATACACAAAATACATACATAGGTCTATCTATCTATCTATCTATCTATCATCTATCTATCTCAATCATCTATCAGAAACCACAGCTGCAAGATTACATTGAAATCTAGTTCCAATCAACAGTATTTATTCTTGTTTTCTCCCTTTCCATATTTATAATTACCTTCTCTGACAGTGAAAAACTTGGTTCTGGCTGGACATGGTATCTCAAACCTGTAATCCCAGCACTTTGGGAGGCTGAGGCAGGTGGATCATGAGGTCAGGAGTTCGAGACCAGCCTGGCCAACATAGTGAAACTCTGTCTCTACTAAAAATACAAAAAAAATTAGCTGGTCACGGTGGTGGGCACCTGTAATACCAGCTACTTGGGGAGGCTTAGGCAGGAGAATCATGTGAACCTGGGAGATGGAGGTTGCAATGAGCCAAGATTGCAGCACTGCACTCCAGCGTGGGTGACAGTGAGAGACTTCATCTAAAAAAAAAGGAAAAACACTCCTATTATCCTCCATATATTTACTTACTTGATCAATTCTCTGTATGAACCTTTGGCCACTGGGAACCCTTTCAGTTGGCTCCTCATGTCCCTTTCACATAATCTCATCATATTGTATGTGTCTGTGCATGTGTTTTAATGTTTTTTACTTTAATGGCACTACAAGATATTACAGACTTATTTTGTGTATTTTATGCCCCAGACCTAGAATCAGCCATTGCTCCAATGAGCTCTGGTTCCTTTTATTGAAGAATATTATTAGAAACCAAGATCTGGATGTTATGCAACTCTCCTCTTTTTTTGACACTCCTATGTTCACTAAACTAAGACATGGCCAATTTTTTGCTAGTCTTCTATTTTATTTTCAAGGAGGAATAGATGTCTTTTATTTCCCTTTCAAGAATATTGAGAATTTAGCCACTTGAAATCTTGGAAAATTATATCACAGACTGTTAATGTGCATCAAAAAACATAAAGTCATGAATCATTATATCCTTTGTCCCATTTCTGATCTGGAAGTTTTTCATCTCAGTAAATTCGTATGTAGGCAGGAGTTCTTACATTTTTTGTACCGTGAATTCCTTTGCCAGCTTGGCAAATCCTATGAGCCTTTCTTAAAAAAAAAAGTTTATTTGGGCCAGGCAGTGGCTTATCTCAGTACTTTGGGAGGCAAAGGAGGGCGAATCGCTTGAGTCCAGGAGTTCAAGATCATCTGGGCAATATGGCAAAACCCCATCTCTACAAAAGGTACAAAAATTAGCTGGGCGTGATGGTGCACACCTGTAGTCCCAACTACTGGGGGGGAAGGGGGGAGCATCACTTGAGCCTGGGATGTGTACGCTGCAGTGAGCTATGTTTGTGCCCCACAGCTTGGGGCAACAAAGTGAGACACTATCTAAAAACCAACAAACAAAACAAAACAAACAAACAACCCCCCCCCCCCACACACACACAAAATAAAATACATAGAATTACAAAGGAAATCAATTGTGTTGAAATTTGGCAGGGATTACAGGCACCTGCCACCATGCCCAGCTAATTTTTTTTGTATTTTTAGCAGAGAGAGTGTTTTTCCATGTTGGCCAAGCTGGTCTCAAACTCCTGACCTCGTGATCTGCCTGCCTCAGCCTCCCAAAGTGCTGGAATACAAGTGTGAGCCACTGCGCCTGGTCAAAAGTCAATTGTATTGAAATGTGGTTATCAGAATATTTAAAAAGCAAATTTTTGATATAGTGATATATATCAATGTATTACAATATATTACAAGATTTAGCAGTGAGGTTAGTAACTAATGCAGAAGCCAGGTTAAACACAAACTATTTTGGCATATCTGCAACAATTTTTATTCTATGAAACTATATCTGCTTTCTACTGGTCATAATCACAGGTGCTGTAAATACTACTGTAGTTTGTTACCATATTCATAATTGAAGAGACTACTAAGCTTCAATTAGAGGTTATTAGAAATAAACATGTAATTTCTTCCCGATCCACATTTATGGACCCAGGGGGAGAGTTTGTGAAAGCTCCAGGAAAGGACACCTGTGTAGAGAAAGCATATGTTGGAGGCCTATTGACTTAGTTTACAAGTGGGGAGAACAATAGGAAGAGTTAAATATTTTAATCAAAACCTTTGAAAAATGTTGGAAAACCAAAATAGTAGTCTTTTAAAATGGAACATGATATTATGATTGGAATATAAAATACAAAGGAACATTAATGTTCATTACATTCTGTATATCATTTTGTTGAAAAGCAAAGGATTTTTGTAATCTTTTTATATATCATAGGTGTGAAAGTTATTTGAAATACTGGCCAGGTGTGGTGGCTCACGTCTGTATTCCCAGCACTTTGGGATGCCAAGGGGAGCGGATCACTTGAGGTCAGGAGTTCAAGACCAGCCTGAACACATGGTGAAACCCCATCTCTACTAAAAATACAAAAATTAGCTGGGCATGGTGGCAGGTACCTGTAATCCCAGCTACTTGGGAGGCTCAGGGCAGAGGTTGCAGTGAGCTGAAATTGCGGTATTGCCCTCCAGCAAGGAAGACAGGGAGAGACTCTGTCTCAAAAAGAAAAAAGAGTATTGAAATACAGACTTTGTTTGGATATAAGCCATATGATAATAAAGACTGATGATGGGAAAAAAAGATATAGCAAAGAAGAGATGTTTCTTCCATAAAAGGGCAAAAGTTGTTATTTCTTTCTTTTTAAATTTGTGTATATTAACTATACTTACAATATTTTTTTGTAATATTAGGGAATCATGGAAGCTGACAAAGACAGTATACTACAAGTTCTTAAGGAGCATTGGTCAGATGAATTTATGAAAGATGAACAAAACAAGGTAAAAAGGAAAATTACTGAGTATTATTAAAAATGAATTTATATCTACTAGTTCCGCAGTAAGGCATGTTTTGTATGTCTTTGTCCAATATTGCCTTGAATTTGCAAGGCTGTTAGGCTTTAAAATTTTTTTAACTTCCATTATGTTATTTAAGCCTTATAAAAAGTGTCATATTTTTATTCTTTCCCTTACAGGGCTTACAACACTAGCTGCTTTCTCACTCATGCCCTCATTTCTTGGATTTGCATCATCGAGTTAAGAGCATAGTTAGCAATTATCTCATTAGACCCCAAGAGGGAACAGAGGCCCAGGTAGTTTAAACCCCTTACCTAAGGTCATATGTCTGGCTTGTTAAGGCAGCTGTGTACTACGGGAATCACAGATAATCAACAACAACAACGACCACAGAGTAGTATGCCCACAGTTACAGTACAATTTAAAACTCTTATTGTAGTCACAAATAGCTAGGAAAGGATCTGATGCAGCACTGAAGTAATAGTTAGAAGATCTGATCTCAATCTTTGCCTTACTATAGATATTTCTGTGACTTTGGTCTAGCGTAAAAGGTGGTTTCTTGGTTTACATAATGGAGATAGTACTACTTGGCAGTGTTAGAATAGATAGGTGATGATGTAAAATATTCAACAAATGCATTATTCACATAGTCATATCTATTCTGAGACTGTCTAATGTCTTTCTTTGTTCAGGATGAGATAAATGTATAGTCTTTAGTTCATTCAGAAAAATGAGTTCAGGGGCTATTTACTTTCTTTGGTACAATTTGGTATTTTTAAGGGATTAATTGATGAAATTACAAAGGAAAATATTCAGCTAAAGAAGGTGATCCAAAAGCTTGAAACCGAGTTACAAGAGGCTACCAGAGAATTCCAGGTACTCTCTTAATTATTTTATATGCTACATTTTTGATGGACACATAGTTTTTGGGAAAAACATTTTAATTATACAAAATTCATTTTTAAAATGTGTGATTAACACTCTGATGATAGACAGACATGACAACACCTCAGAAACCCCATTTGGGTTCCTTTCTGGGTCTTATCTGCTTCTAAAAGTAACCACTATTTTAGCTTCAAACATCCTGCTCTTGCTTAATTTAAAGGGAAGCCCATGGTATGCCCTCTTCTGTCTTTTTTGTGTTAACATTGTGTTTATGAGACTTGTGTTGCTGCATGTCATTGTGATCTGTTCATTCTTATTGCTGTGAGGTTGTACTGATGCCCTTGCTGTATTACTTAGGATACATGCATTTTCCTATTATTTATGCACACTTTAACAAATTTACAATAACAAAAAATTAATAAAATTTACCCAAAAAAGATGATCATTAGTAAATCATTGTTGGATCAAATTCTGGATTTTCTCACTGAGTTCTTTTCTTCTTCTTCTCATCCAAGGTGCTTTGGTAATTTAAATGAGTTTCACGGTTTAAAAAGTTGGACATAAATTAATCCTCACCATTTAAATTCTGTCCTAAATTTTTCTGTATTTTAATTATACATAAATTTCACTCTCTTTTCTTCTTAACAACTCAGATTGTTAAAAAATTAAAGCATTCATGTACCCCAAAACCTAAAATGCAATTAAAAAAAAAAAGGAAAAAAAAATACACATCAGATTTTGAAGTGTTAGTTTAGAAACAAAAATACAAAGATATCATTAATTTTGTATTAATTACATGTTGAAATGATATACTTTAGATATATTGGCTTAATTAAATATATTATTAAAATTTCAAAAAAAAAAATTAAAGCATTGACACTTTTTGTTTCTGAAGTGGGAGATAGGATATTGAATATCGGGAAGTGAGGTTTTCTGTGTTTATGAAATGAGTGACTTTGTGCAGAAGCCTCTTAAGATTCTAGTTGCTTCTCAGACAGAAGCTAGAATCATTTACTCTTACAACTCAAAGAGCCTTTAGAAACCAGCCAGCCCTAGACGACCCACCTTGCAGAGGACCAAAACCGTGATCAGAGAGCTTAAGTGAATTTGCTCTCTGTCACAGTGGGGTCAGAAATAGAATCAAACTTTCTCAATCTAATTTCAGAAAGCCCTTGGCTCCTCAGCATATACTGGATATTTCTGCATTATTGGGTAACACTCTGCCTTTTCTCAGACATTGTAGATTGTTTTGAAGACAGCCTTACCGTAATCAGAATCTACACTGCAGTTACGTGTAAAGGCAAAGAATAAGTTTGACTCACTGAATATTTCTAATCTATTTGTATTACTGTCAGCATGCAAAATAACCATGGGAAATAGAAATGCAAGCACCCTATCTCATTTGTGGGCTGTATAAATATGCTAATCCCAATAATTCTAAGCAGCTAAGTATAACCACCTACCTTTATCTTTCAGGTTATGATTTTTTTTTTTTTTTTTTTTTTTTGAGGCACGAGTTTTGCTTTGGTTGCCCAAGCTGGAGTGCAATGATGCAATCTTGGCTTACTGCAACCTTTGCCTCCTGGGTTCGAGTGATTCTCCTGCCTCAGCCTACTGGGATTGAGTAGCTGGGATTACAGTACCTGCCACCATACTTGGCTAATTTTTGTATTTTTAGTAGAGACTGGTTTCAGCATGTTGGCCAGGTTGGTCTCGAACTCCAGACCTCAGGTGATTGGCCCACCTCGGCCTCCCAAAGTGCTGGGATTATAAGCATGAGCCACCGCACCCAGCCTCAGGTTATAATTTTTGTTCATACTGTCCCTTCTCATTTTTTATAAACCTAAGTTGTGGTGATGGTTAAAAGTTGACGGGCAGGTGTTGGGGAAGGTGGAATTTTAAAATTTAATAAATTTAAAATCATCTAATTCTGGCCTGGGTACGGTGGCTCATGCCTGTAATCCCAGCACTTTGGAAGGCCAAGGTGGGCAGATCATAAGGCCAAGAGATAGAGACTATCCTGGCCAACATGGTGAAACCCTGTTTCTACTAAAAATACAAAAATCACCTGGGTGTGGTGGCACACACCTATAGTCCCAGCTACTCAGGAGGCTGAGGCAGGAGAATTGCTTGAACCCAGGAGGTGGAGGCTGCAGTGAGCTGAGATTGTGCCACTGCACTCCAGCCTGGCAACAGAGCGAGACTCCATCTCAAAAATAAAATAAAATAAAAATAAATAATTAAAATAAAATAATCTAATTCTGGAGTCTTTCTTTTTGGATGAAATTATTTGGATTTGAAATACTAAATTATACCCAACTCTATATTTCATACTTTGCAGTGAAATTAAACATAATATCAAATGATTTCCTTTTGAGATAGTCTGTTGTTGGCACTTTTTAAAATAGTCCTCATCTACGTGAACGATGTAAGTTTTAGAATTGAGCATCATACAATATTGACAATTTAAACATTGATTAGAAAAAGTGAGAGGATTATATGTTTTAAATTTCATCTGTGAAATAATATTAAAAGATCATCATTTGATTACTCTACTGAGCACTTACATGGAAAAAAGCAATTACTAAAGATGTTAAGTAAGACCATACTCAGAGTTCTACAAGATTCTAAAATCAGTGGGAATAATTATTGGATGACCAAATTACATTATCATTGGAAGGACTTTAGTTATTTCTTGTCTTGATTTTAATCAAACATTTTTGTTTGAATTAGATTAAGGAGGATATTCCTGAAACAAAGATGAAATTCATTTCAGTTGAAATTCCTGAGAATGACAGCCAGTTTCAAAATATCTCCTGTTCATTTCAAGTGAGCTCGAAAGTTCGTTATGAGCTACAGAAAGGACAAGCACTTATCACCTTTGAAAAAGAAGAAGGTATGACTAATGTTAAAAAATATGACCATGTTATTTGGAAAGCGCTTGGACTTTCAAAGATTTTTTCACAGACATTTAGCTATTGCTTTGCAATTTTTACTTATATTATTTCTTATCCTCATAGTGACACCCTGAAGCAGGTATGATTATTCCCATTTACAGATGAGAATACTGACTCTGAGACAACTGACTTGAATATGATCTCTTATTTAGAAAGCCATGACTGTGGGACTTAAATTCAGGTGCTGTGATGTCCAACATCAGCCTCTTTCTATTCCACGTGCTACCTCCAAATAGTAATGATAGTAATATTTCACGGTAGTAGAACTATACTGTTCTCAGAGACATTGTGGCATTTTATACTCACACAATTCCATAAATGTAGGAGGATAGGACAGTTATTATTGTGTACATTAAATATAGACATGCCATAGCCAAGAAAACAGATTCTGAGGATGTTTAAGGGATTTACCTAAGGGAACATGGCTAATGAATGGAAAGAGCCTAGGAGTTAGAGATTTGGAATGAGACCTGATATTTGCTAAGTCTGCCATGGTGAGGGCCCCTGTTCAGAGCTGGTGGTTCCTGAATGGGGAGGATCTGGCTTTGAGTGCCAGCTTTATCCCTTCCTAGAAGCATGATGTGGGATGGGTTCTTTATAAACCACAGAGTTTTATACAGGTGCTTTGTGGTAGTACCTACTTCATGAGGCTGCTTTGAGTATTAAATGAGAAATGTTGATAAAATACTTAACACAATGTTGGATACTTAATACAAACTTAATAAGTGTTGTTATTGTTGATAACATACTTAGCAAATGTTGATAAAATACTTAGCACAATGTTGGGCACTTAATAAGAACTTAGTAAATTTTAGTTGTTATTGTTGCTATATGTTAGGAATTTTCCAGATAAGGAAACAGAAGCTTAAAGAAGATAATTAACTTGCTTAAAGTCTATACAGTTAATTGCAGAGCTGAGAGCCAACCCCTGACAGTCCATGTACTTCCACCGGGCCAATATTTCTCTCAGTAGGCCACCAGCCCAGGCCTTTGTTCTTTTATTTAAGTTATGTGGTGAGGGACCAGACGGTGTGCCCAGCCCTTCCAGTACTCAGATTCTGAGAGTCTATAACCCATATCTCCTGACAACTGGTCCACCACTGTAGCCTAAAAGTAAATGTTAAAAGGAAAGGCATTCCAGCAGGTTAGTATCTGCACTTAGAAGATATACATTGCCAGTGTATTTTCCTTCACCCTGGAGCTACTGCTATAGGTGGGAGTCCAGGACTCACTTTGGTGATTCCTCTTGGTAATCTGGATATAACTAAAAGATAGATATAAATGAGGATTCTGGAGGCAGGGTTTCTGCACAGCAATTTCTTGGGAATGTTGGAAATGGAATTCTCTAAAGAAGCACCTACATTATTGCTTCTACCCTTGATGTGGCTCTGAGCTCCCAATCTCTTGGGACAGCATTAGGTTAAAACACAATTAAGGAGGAGTCAACTCTTGACTGTCAGAGTAACAAAAGTTGAAACACAAGTGGTCCCTCTTAGCTGCATCAGATCACCAGATGTTGGGGTTTTGCAGAGGAGTGGGAGGGAAAGAGGATTATCTGAGTATTACTCATTGATATTTTCTGTTGTCATTAGCAAAAAAAACCCAAAAAACCAAAAAACCATCATCCAAGTTATAGAGTCATATTTTGGTACAGTGAGTTCAGTTCCCACACGGCCAGGCCCTGGCTTCTGGCCCTTTTTTTCTCTTCCTGCAGCTGTGGTGTGGTGCCATCTGGTTGTCATAAACACATGTGATGTTTTATAAGACAGAGATTGAACATCACTTATTTTCATGATAGATTGTTATAGCAGCCCCAAATATCAAAAGTGAAGTATTATAAACTCATGCCACACAGTTAAGAATAAGTGCCCACTCACATACATTTTAAATTAACATAGAGTTGCTCTTTGGAGTGCTGGTGACTTTTGGCATTTTACTAAACCTCTCCCATTTGCGTGGATAAATTAGACTTGACAGCTTTGTGATCAATATAGCAGGACTATCAACTTTTTAAAGAATGGTTTCAAAAGCATTTTTGCAAAAGTAGAATTTGTTATTAAGTATGACAAAAAAATACTCTTTGATATTCCAACCTGGGTAGTCTTTAACGTGTAACGCTTGAGAAGACAGACATAATGAATGTAAATCGCTCTAGTGCTTCTAACATGTTAAGGAGTAACAAAAGATAAGGTTAAGTAAAATTAAGATTAATTGTACATATTTGACACTTAGCCATGAAAGTTTTCCAGCTTACTCAACATGGGAGAATTTCTGGCTGTGAGTTAGTGTACTAGGGGAATTCTCTGGTAATGTCGTTCATAGTAGAAGGACGGGTATGCGGCTGGACTGAAATAACATATGAATTCTGGAAAATGGTTAGGCTTATCTCTTAAGAGATAAAAGATTCATCTTACAAGAGGAATCTAGAAATTGAGAACTTCTACATTGTGATTTTGCTGATGTGCTTTGACATTAATATATTCTACTTTGGGACCAAGAGCAGTGGCTCATGCCTGTAATCCCAGCACTTTGTTCGAGAGGCTGACGCAAGAGGATCGCTTGAGTCCAGGAGCTCCACAGCAGCCTGGGCAATAAAGTGAGATCTCGTCTCTACAAAAGGGAGGCGTGGTGGCTAGGTGTGATGGCATGCACCTGTAATCCTAGCTATTCTGGAAGCTGAGATGGGAGATCTCTTGAGCCCAGGAGTTTGAGGTTACAGTGAGCTGTGATCACACCACTGCACTCCAGCCTCGGTAACAGAGTGAGATCCTATCCCCCTTTCCCCTGATCCTCCAAAATATATATTCTACTTCTGTGGCAAGACCATTATCACTTGGAACCACCCCCCATCCAATTTTTTAAATTAGACCCTTTAATATTAAAGAAAGTTAAAAATAGGATAATTTATTCTTAAACCAAAAGCATAAAAATGCTTAAAATATCTAAAATTAATACTTCCTTCTTGAATTATTTTTCAGTTGCCCAAAATGTGGTAAGAATGAGTAAACACCATGTGCAGATAGAAGACGTAAACGTGGAGGTTACAGCCCAGCCAGTTCCACTAAACTCAGGAGTCAGATTCCAGGTAACAGGATGATTAAAATTTTTTGGATTTCTGTTCATCATAGGCACTTCTCTCGTCGTATTTCTGAACATCAAACCATTTTCCAGGTTTTTGTAGAAATTTCTAAAATGAAAATCAATGTTACTGAAATTCCTGCCACATTGCCTGAAGATCAGATGAGAGACAAACTAGAGTTGAGTTTTTCTAAGTCCCGGAACGGAGGAGGAGAGGTGGACAGCATGGACTACGACAGACAGTCCAGGAGCGCCGTCATCACGTTTGTGGAGACTGGAGGTACTCACGGGTGTAGAAGACACTCTGCCATTAAAGTCATGTTCTATTTTTCCTGAAAGTATTCTTCTTCTACTTCTTTTATTTGAAATGTATTAGCATTATAATTGGGGTTTTTAAAAAACCTTATAAAATGGTAGAGTGTAGAAAATTATTTCCAGGGACAGTACTAGGAATGATAATACTGGTACAAATAATAAGTGTATAAAATCTCAATGCATTATTATTATCATTATTATTATTTTGAGATGGAGTCTCACTCTGTCACCCAGGTTGGAGTGCAGTGGTATGGTCTTGGCTTACTGCAAACTCTGCCTCCAGGGTTCAAGCGATTCTCCTGCCTCAGCTGGGACTACGGGTGCATGCCAACACACCAGCTAATTTTTTTTTTTTTTTTTGGTAGAGACTGGGTTTCACTATGTGGGCCAGCCTGGTTTCGAACTCCTAACCTCATGATCCGCCTGCCTCGGCCTCCCAAAGTGCTGGGATTACAGGCGTGAGCCACCACACCCTGCCTGATCTCAGTGCATTCTGAGCACATGCCAGGCATGCTGCTAGGATTCTGTGTATTTATCACAACTCTGGAAATAGGGGATAAACTTATTTATTGACAAGGAAACTGAGAACTGGGGTAATGAAGAACTTGATGATCACACAGGGTGTGTGTGACAGAGCAATTAATAAATACATACACGCACACACACACACACATATATATATATATATATATATCACTATCTCTTCCATCTCATTATTATTTACAGCAGTATCTTAGATGAGTATTGATTTCCTCTAATTATTAGGGCTTTTCCTGGGTTTACACATATAATAGAAACTCACCTATACCATTAAAAAACGTTAACAGGGCCAGGTGCCTTGGCTCATGCCTGTAATCCTAACACTTTGAGAGGCTGAAACACTTTGCAAGGCCTCAAGAAGATAGCTTGAGCCCAGGAGTTCAAGACCTGCCTAGTCAACATAGTGAAACTCCATCTCTACAAAATATTTTTTAAAAATTAATCAGGCATAGTGGTGCATGCCTGTGGTCCCAGCTACTCAGGAGGCTGAGACGGGAGGATTACTTGAGCCTGGGAGGTCAAGTCTGCAGTGACGTGTGATTGCACCACTGCACTCTAGCCTGGAAGACAGAGTGAGAGCCTGTCTCAAAAAAAAAAAAAAATTTAAATAATTGATAGATTAGATTTTTTCATGACAAAGTAATACATGCTTTTTTTAAGGAAGTTGAAACAATACAGAAAAACACAAATTTAGAAAAAATGAGACATGTTCTCAAACTTCCCTTTCTCCTATGATTTAATTAGTTATGGTTATTTGGGTGTCTTTCCAGGCCTTTCTCTGGGCACATTAAAACATATCAATATATATATTTTTTTCAGACAGAGTCTTGCTCTGCTGCCCAGGCTGGAGTGCAGTGGCACGATCTCAGCTCACTGCGACCTCCGCCTCCCAAGTTCGAGCAATTCTCCCACCTCAGGCTCCAGAGTAGCTGGGATTAAAAGTGTGTGTCACCATGCCTGACTAATTTTTGTGTTTTTGGTAGAGATGGGGTTTCACCATAGTGGTCAGGCTGCTCTCGAACTCGAACTCCTGACCTCAACTGATCTGCCTACCCCAGCCTCCCAAAGTGCTGGGATTACAGGTGTCAGCCACCATGCCCAGTCCAATATGCATTTTTGACCTGAGCTTTTGGAAGATGTTTAGGACATCCTGGTGGGGTGTGTTAGGGAGAGCTACAGAAGGAAGGGGTCTTGAGGGCTACAGTAATATGTTGTCTTGAAAATGAACAATAACTTGGTGGAAATTTCCATAGTCAAGCATCCAGATTTCAATTCACCAAATTCATATATTCATTTAGCCTGTTTGCTCTTAGTTTGTCTATATCTTGGATTTTAAAAAATATCTCAAGGTGCAGTGGTTCATGTCTGCAATCCCAGCATTTTGAGAGGCTGAGGCGGGGGTGGGGATCACTTGAGGCCAGGGGTTCAAGTCCAGCCTGACCAACATCGTGAGTCCTCATCTTCATTAAAAATTCAAAAATTAGCTAGACGTGCTGGCTCACATCCATAGTCCCAACTACATGGGAGGCAGAGGCAGGAGAATTGCTTGAACCTGGGAGGTAGAGGTTGCAGGGAGCTAAGATTGTGCCACTGCACTCCAGTCTGGGTGACAGACGAGGCTCTGTCTCAAAAAAAAAAAAAAGAAAGAAAGAAAGAAAAAAGGAAAAGAAAAGAAAATCCATGAGACCGGCTAGGTGTGGTGGCTCATGCACTTTGGGAGGCTAAGGTGGGCAGATCCACTTGAGGTCAGGAGTTTGAGACCAGCCTGGCCAACAAAGTGAAACCCTGCCTCTACTAAAAATACAAAAATTAACCGAGAGCGGTGGCTCATGCCTGTAGTCCCAACTACTTGGGAGACTGATGTAGGAGAATTGCTTGAACCTAGGAGGTGAAGGTCGCAGTGAGCCGAGATTGCATCACTGCACTCCAACGTGGGTAACAGAGCGAGATTCGGTCTCAGAATAATAATAATAATGAAAATAAATAAATAAAACAAACTAGAATGCAATTTATAACCCTACTGTGAGAGATAATTCTAGCTTGGGAAACTGTGTTCTTGAGTCATCTGGGGATGCCCTCCTAGAGGTTACATCTAGCCAGAAGGGGAAAAATACTTTTGCAGGTTATAGGTTATCCAATAGGTAACTACTGAAGGATATGAAGGTATTCTGGAGATAAATAGTCCAGATACTTCATAAACTGTGCTTTCCTGACTCATCACAACAATCTACAAGGTAAGTACTATAATTATGCTTATTTTGCAGAAAATAAACAGGCTTCAAGAAGCAAGCAACATATTCAAGGTCACATAACTCAAAAGTAGCAGAGCTAGGACTGAAGCTGGTCTATTTGACTCAGGCCCTGCACTGTTTTTTTTTTTTTTTAACTGTGATAAAATATATATAACATAAAATTTACCATTTTAAGAATTTTTAAATGTACAATTCAAAGGCACTAAGTACATTCATAATATTGTACAACCATCACCACTGTTCATCTCTAGAACTTTTTAATCACCCCAAACTGAAACTCTGTGCCCATTTAGCAATAATTTTCCTTTATCTCTTCTTCCAGCCCCTGGTAATCACCATTCTACTTTCTGTCTCTATGAATTTGCCTATTCTAGGTACCTCATTCAAGTGGAATCATACAATATTTTTCTTTTTTGTGTCTGTCTTATTTTGGTTAGCATAATATTATCAATATTATCAGAGTCCATCCATGTTGTGGCATGTATCAGAATTTCATCTCTTTTTTTTTTTGAGACAGGGTCTCACTCTGTAGCTCAAGCTGGAGTGTAGTGGTACCATCTTGGCTCACTGCAACCTCTACCTCTGAGGCTCAAGTGAGTCTTGTGCCTCAGCCTCCCGAGTAGCTGGGACTACTGATAAGTGCCGCCATACCCAGCTAATTTTTTGTATTTTTTTTTTAATGGAGATGGGGTTTCACCATGTTGCCCAGGGAGGTCTCTAATGCCTGAGCTCAGGTGATCCACCCACCTCGGCCTCCCAAAGTGCTGGGATTACAGGCATGAACCACCACACCTGGCCAGAATTTCATCCTTTTCAAAGGCTGAATAATATTCTCTGTGTGTGTGTGTGTATTTTACATATCCGTTTTGTTTACCATTCATCTGTTAGTGGACATTTGGGTTGCTTTCACCTTTTGCCTATTGTGAAAAATGCTGCTCTGAGCATTGGTGAGCAAGTATCTATCTGAGTCCCTGCTTTCAGTTCTTTTGGGTATATACCTAGAAGTTGAGTTGTTGGACCATATCATTTTCTATTTTAATATTTTGGGGAACTGTCATACTGTTTTCCATAGTGGTTTTACCATTTTACATTCCTACCAGCAATGCCTCGGGGTTTCAGTTTCTCCACATCCTTGCCAATGAGGGCCTACACTCTTAACCACGGTACCATATTGCTGATCCAAGGTAGAAGAGTGGGAAGAGTCATAAAAAGGATGGTTGGATATTCCGAAGAACTGTTTCTGTTAAACATTACAGTCTTGACACACGTCCTTTCATCACTCTAGGAGAAAAAAATGTTGCTACAAATAAATCAGACTACTCTTTGTGTTGGAGAAAACAGATGAATTTTTATTTCTTTTCATTTTTTCCAGATGACATTCAATCCTCTCCCCACTTTGGTTAACATCATTACTTCAGTTTACCAAATATCATATATTAGTTAAAGGAATGCCAAGTAATTTACTATATATGTGTGTGTTTGTATATATGTATCTATAAATATATTATTATGCATTAAAATATATTGAAAAATGTATATAGTATTCTAATCATAGTTTTCATGTATAGCTTTGGAGAAACTGGAAAACACTCCAGTCTTGTTACATGAGTGGGTTACTTTTGGCAGAAGACTATCGTATTTTTTGTAGCTCAAAGTAGATCTGTCTGAGGACATTGCAGTCCTTTATGCATTGATTGACTGCAGTGAATAATTCAAGATGGAAGGAAGCCCTTAAATCCTCATTATTGTTTGTCCTTTTCATTTTCAAAATTATATACTGTGGACTTCAAAGTAGACTTTAGAATTTCTTAAAAATTAATCTTTCAACTCAATGTTTATTGTAATAGTGTTCTCTTTGAAGGAAGTTTTAACTTTGTTTAAAAATGTTTTTGATATAAAAAAGAAAAGTATTGTTTTTGCTTTGCTTTTAGTTGCTGAAAAGATTTTGAAAAATAAAGAATATCCTCTTTATATAAATGAAACCTGCCATAGAGTTACTGTTTCTCCATACACAGAAATGTACTTGAAAAAGTATCAGGTAAAGTCATCTCTTTTCTCTCATTTTCAGAACTCAGTGCCCAAACCCACCCCACAAAAAATAAAGTTGTGTGAGTCTGTTACTATATGAATGAGGGATATCAAAATGGTTTCTTCACTTTTGCTTGGTGCAGAATGAGCCTGTCTTTTGAAAGAGCATTTTAATGCAAAACTGTACTTTTTAATACAATTTTTAAAACTGAAATTACTCAGATAATGGCATGATTGTTATTTTTGTATATGGAAACATAGCTGCATTTCTCTCACACATCTATCATCAGTGAGAAAGAATTCCTGCCTCCTTTCTCTGAACTCATTATCTTTACCCCAGACCTGCTCCCTTTTCCTCTTCCTTGTAAGGTATCCAGTGGTACCACCATCTACCTAGTCCACCAACCTAAAAGCTAGAACTTTTTTTTTTTGGTTGTAAAATAATTTACTAAAGGCACTATTGTTAAACATCAAACTAATAATTTGTTGCCAATAAGGTACATCATTGTAAACATAACAAAATTTTAAGAGATACATGGCTAATATGCAAACAATACAATTTTAAGTGACAGCTTTCCTATTTACAAGATCATGTCCCTTCCAGCCATTACAAGGGCATACAGTGATGTCATTGCTCCCAACAGTTACCTGGGAAGGGAGCTTGGAGCTCATAATTGGTTTGAGATCACGACTGCCAAGATCTTTAAAAGCTCCAAAAGTCTCTTCACTCATAAAGGCCAAGCTAGAACTTAGGCTTAACTCTTCAGTTTGCTTCACCTCTAACATTCATTTGGTCACTAAATCTTCCCAGCTCCGCTTCTCACTACCTCTCTATCTGGACTTTCTGTCCCCAGAGCGTCCCTCCTTTCCTCTATGTTCCATAATGCCACCAGAGTTCACTTTCTTAAACTGTCCCCAGAGCTTCCCTTCTTTTCTCCGTGTTCCATAATGCCACGAGAGTTCTCTTTCTAAAACTCAGATCTGACTCGGTATTCTCTCGCTTGGAAAATCTTCCTAAGATTTCTTGTCTCTGCTAAGATAAAGTAAAACATATTAAGCAGAGATTATGAATGTAAAGTTTCATAATTCAAAGCTCTTAGAAATCTTTCAATTTATCATTTTTTTCCTTCTTAGATATTTTCAGGAATTTCTAAAAGGACAGTGCTTCTGACTGGAATGGAAGACATTCAAATGGATGAAGAGATTGTGGAGGATTCAATTAACATTCACTTTCAACGGGCAAAGAATGGGGGTGGAGAAGTAGATGTGGTCAAGTGTTCTCTCGGTCAACCTCACATAGCTTACTTTGAAGAATAGAATCAGAATCATAGCAGAATCATGAAAGCTATAGCTTTTTAACTCTGATTACTGTAAATGTTTGACAAAAATGAATACGCTTTTCCTTCAAAAATGAAAACTTTTATTTTTAGCATCCATTTATTTTTAGATACAAAATTTATTTCCATGTTTCTGAATCTTCTTTGTTTCCAATGGAGCTGCATGTTTTCAACTACAATAAATGCACTGTAATAAAGTTTTGTTTACAGATTACGTGTATTGGTGCCATGTCTGCTGAAATCAACCTTAAGTGATTCAGATGTCCCCTGCCAGTGTTAGCTCATCCTGTTACGGTCTTGTGGGACAATTCAGTTGTGGCCCCACGCCCACAAATATGCAGACTTGACTCTTAACATGTTCCAAAACAAAGGCAGTTAAGTTCAGCAGTTTGTGATCCTGTAAACTCAACTGAAGATTCAAGGACTTCAAGAGCAACCATTTCCCACTGTGCATAGCATCTCACGCCACAAATCCAAAAGTTCTCGGAGCTGAGGGTGGTTTTTCTTTTGAATTTTTGTTCACCCAAGTGCCAACTGTCCCTTGATTCCTTCCAAGCCATCCCCTCTCCGAATAGAGCTCGTAAAGGACTTTCTTTTGCACTTACAATGGAAACAATTGGTGTAAGAGTTTGAAAACCTTGGCATGGAGAGAGAGGTAAATACAAAGTTAGTGACTCCATCACTCACCATATTCTATGCTGGGGAATGCCTGGAGGTAAAAACACAGTGCCTGCCCTCCAATGGCTTAAAGTTTAATTGGAAAGAGATCTAGTTTACCTGCATCTCACTGTTTTTAACTTGCAGACACATTAAAGATTCCCATTCAGAGAAAGTAAAAGTCTTTTTGGTAAAGAGCCTTTAGGCCGAATGCGGTGGCTTAGGCCACCAGCACTTTGGAAGACTAAGGCGGGGTGGGGGGGGCGGGGGGAGGGATCGCTTGAGGTCAGGAGTTTGAGACTAGCCTAGCCAATATTGTGAAACCCCGTCTCTACCAAAAATACAAAAAATAGCCTGGCATGGTGGCTGGTGCCTGTAATTCCAGGAGGCTGAGGCAGGAGAATTGCTTGAACCCAGGAGGCAGAAGTTGCAATGAGCTGAGATTGCACCACTACACTCCTGTCTGGGCATCGAAGCGAGACTCTGTTTTTTTTTTTTTTTTTTTTTTAAATAGAAGAAACTTTGGGCAACTTCTATTCTGACATAGTAGGTTTCATGAAGAATTGGCAGCAGAATTAAATTGATATTAAAATGCTGGCAGAAATGAAAGGCTTTTGGAAAAGGTTCTAAACCTATTGAATGCTGCCTGCCATCTCAAACAAAAAAAGGAAAAGCTCAAGTTTTGCTTCTGATATTTAATTCTTAGGTTTTAAAGTTATATTACTCTCAGAAGTATTTGTTTTCACATTTCTTTGAGGAATGAGAGATGGTGCCTAAAAACTACAATTTATGATAATTTTTTATATTTACCATTTAAATGAATCTCTTGTGTCTGTTATTCTTTTAAAATAGAATGACTACTTTAAGCACTCAAAAAAAGAAGAAAACTTGAAAGCACCTATTAAATTTCCATTGTGCTAGTCTCACTGGCACAGAGGGTATTGTCTATTGTTTGTGGCAGATTGCCTATCAGGAAGAATTTTATGTTAACATTTATTTAAGATAAAGTTGAAATAGTCACTTCTGTTTTTTGGGGTGTCCTCTTCAGGCAGTAAAATTGATAATTCAATTCTAAATTTTCATACGTGTTTTTTGATAAATATTTCTAGCTTAAAAAAAATGATACTTTTCTTTTGGATTCCTTTAACTCTCACTCAAGAACAGTCTGGCTGGATGTCAGAAAACAAGCATTGACTCTCCTGCTTGTTCTTAGAGTTTTAGAGATTTTACAGAGGAAAGCTGTCTTTGAAAACTTAACAAAAGTACCAAATTGATTATTTAATTTATTGAATATTAAGAAAGGGGCCTTCAAATGTATGTCCAAGATGGGCTAACTCCAGACATTGCCATATGATAAGTCAGATAGATACAAATGTAGAATTACAAGTTCCTCTTGCTGTTTGTTGATTTATCAGGCAGGACGGGCTACGTAATGCCATGGTAACAAACAACCTGCCAAACCTCATGGGCTCAACAATTCTTACCTGTGCTGATTATCCAGCACAGGCTGGCAGGAGGACTCTGTTTATCCTCATGACTTAGAGCATCTTGAGACAAGAATCATGGAGGGTTGGGGAAGGGGAGGAAAGATGAAATCTGGAAAATCTTGTATTAGCAATTAAATGCTGTCACCCAGAAGTGATTCTCACATCTCATTGATCAGAAATAGTCACATGGCCCTATTCAAATAGGAGGGGACTTGGTCTAGGCGTGGTGGCTCATGCATGTAATCCCAGAACTTCGGGAGGCCAAAATAGGAGGATCGCTTGAGGCCAGGAGTTTGAGACCAGCCTGGGCAACACAGTGAGACCCCATCTCTATTTAAAATCTAAATCTAAATATATATATATGTTTATATATATCTCTATTTTAAATCTAAATATATATATATGGAGACTAGGAAATTCTGTCATATCAAAAGTTAGGAGAACCAGATATTGCTGAGCCAGAATAATAACGAGCATAGCCTACCTGTCTTACCACCAATATTTAGTTCATTCGTCTTCTCACACAAAATACACTCATAGTCATCTCATCCTTAAGGGAGAAAAACAAAAAATTCCATCCAATAATGATATTAAACTCAAAGTGCATGTTCTAAGTGGTCGACATCAGGTCTGAATGCTGCTCGTCTTTATGCACAGACCCCCACACATCCAATATAGAGTAGTAGGACTAGAAAAAGATAAGTGCAATAAACTCTTATGCTTGGGAAGGGAAAGAATGGGAGACACACAGCAGACACTGGGCCAAAACAATTCTGAAATCCCATTCTGGAGATGTGTGCTCCATATTCCCAAGTGTGAAATTTGGATTAGGCCCTAATTCCATTCTCTACAAATTGTCTTGCTCATTGTCCTTATGGCTTTTGAACATTCTTCTTTTTTTTTTTTGACACTGATTCTCACTCTATTGCCTAGGCTGAAATGCAGTGGTGTGATCTCGGCTCACTGCATCCTCCGCCTCCCAGTTAAAGATTCTTCTTTTTCCATTATTCTTCTTAGGCATATCTAGAATGAGCATATGAAATCTATTCTTGCAATCTGAAAAACTTCCCCAGTGCACCTCCTGTGGTCAATGTTTGTGACCAAAGTTTTTAAAGTTTTAACAGTCATGGTCTCTTCAGTCTGGGGTGGTGTTTATTTAGCCGGTAAAATGGAAAAACTCAATAGGCATCTTGTCTATTTTATTCTGGTAAGCTTACACATCCACAGTTCTTTTATAGACTTTTTTTTTTTTTGGAGATGGACTTTCGCTCTTCTTGTCCAGGCCGGAGTATAATGGTGTGATTGTGGCTCACCGAAACCTCTGCCTCCCAGGTTCAAGCGATTCTTCTGCCTCAGCTAGCTGGGATTACAGGCATGAGCCACCAGGTCTGGCTAATTTTTGTATTTTTAGTAGAGATGGGGTTTCTCCATGTTGGTCAGGCTGGTCTATGAACTCCCAACCTCAGGTGATCCGCCCAACTCAGCCTCCCAAAGTGCTGGGATTACACGTGTGAGCCACTGCGCCAGGCTGAGTCTTACTTTTTAGAGTTGCTGCTATTCTCTGCTTTCTTAGCCCATGCTTCTTTCACTATTTTTATTTAATTATGGATTACTTTGCATCTATCAGGCCACACTTTTACTTTTACCTCCTTGAACAATTTTGTCCAGTTGAAAGGCTTTATTGGATTCCACAACCTTAATTGGTATTTTCGCTCTGAGGGATCTTAATCTAGAGATTTATACCTGGATTTGATCATTGATTTGATCCCTGCCATAAAGCAGAGTTCTAATCAGTCTTTGTTACTCAACAGGCTTCTTGGTTTTATCATTTATTATTTGGGAATGAGAAATGTTTCCTCCAACCTCATAAGTTGGAAGTTCCTATTTCTGTATTTTATTCCCTTTCATTCCTGCTGTCAAACTGGCCAGTTCTTTCATAAATTCATTTTTTTCTTATATTACTTTGCTAAATGCACTCAATGATAACAAATACTAGTAACCTTCTGCTTCCCATACTTTAAAAACAACAACAACAATAACAACAAAAAAAAGAAAAAAAACCTACAAGTTAATTGGGTATATTATCTGCTTTCCAAGCTATAACATGACAGTTTTACAAAGCACTTTTATACTGCATAATGTGGGTCATTATTCTTTTAATCTCTGATAACTATTTTCTTATTATCTGCCACTTGCCTCTAAGCCAAAGCCTTGTATTTCAGGTAGTGCTTGGATTGCGTGTTTTTCTTTTGGTGATAGCAGTACTCCACTTCAGAATACCAATTTCTGTATCAATCAGAATAGACTATCTGATGCCAATGTGAAAAATTTTTTAATTTAAAATTTTAAAATTTTAAATCTTTAAATTTCAGATGCCTAAAGTAACACACATGTATTCCTTCCTCAAGCTACACATGCCCATGATGGTTCAACAAATAGAGCTCTGCTCATGGTAAACACTTAGGGACCCAAGCTCACCGCTACCACCATCTTTACTATTGCTAGATGCCATGCCAGAGGAAGAAAAGAGCTTTGAAGGGTCTTTAAGTGGTAATTAACTTTTTTGGCCCAGAAATGATACTTGTCACTTTCACTCACAATCAGAACTAAGCATATGGACCTGCCCAACCATAAAGGAGCCTGGATGTTCGTTCTTACCATATGGCTGAAAGGCAGAAAGCCAGAACCACATGGGGAATAGCATTACAGATACCTGGTTGGTATTAAGAAAGAAAAGATGCTCAATCTAGAAAAATACACATAGTATAAAGGAGATAATAAAAATCACCAAAAGTCCACCTTCAGAGATAATGGCAAATATTTTTGTGTTCTCCTTTCCATTCTTTTTTTCCCCCCAACTACATTACATTTCATACTGAAAATATACCCACATACCCTATGCCATTTATTACTTCCTTGAAGTTGGGATTAAGGTTGTTTCTAATTTCTTAATGTTCTGATGTACGTAAGTCCTTATATGTCTTGGAACATAAGTCATCTTCTGCAGTTCTGACCTTACTTCAAGGTTTTGATTACTAGGTTGAAAGGCAGAAGCACAAAAAACTCTTATAAGGATCTTGTTAAGTGAGGCCAGAATTGCTTACTAGAAAGGTAGGCATTGGTTCGTACTTTCATTAACAGTGTAACAAAGGACCATCTCATTGCTCTATTTCAGCACTGAATACTACTTATGTAAAAATGTTTTCTTTATTCTATTTTCGGGAATTTTCATAACATATCCCAGGATTTTATGAAAATAAGTAATTACCAAGATATAGGTGAAACATCCTGTAATGGGTTTTGCTTTAGTTTTTTGGTATCACAAATTAAAAATGTTCAGGAATGTTGACCAATTTGATTTTATTAAAGCTTCAAGACAGAAAAGTACAGTGAGGCAAGAGGCCTTATAATTGGGGCTATAAGATGTTAAAAGATTCTCTTTGATGCAGTTTTAGTTAGTAATATGCTGCTAAAATTATTTTGCCACATTTGGAATCCTCTTTCTTCAAGGGTGTTGAAATAGTTTGGCACATATATAATTAAAGGTTACTCTAGATTGTGTTTGACAGTGCAGACAGGTTGACCTGAATTCCCAACTCAAATCCTAGACCTCTCATCATTTTCTGGAGAGGATGGAGACTTCAGTTACGAGTTAGAGAAAGCAAGAAAGACATTCAATATGAGGAAATATAGAAAGACATTTTTGGGACGCTGAGGCAGGCGGATCACCTGAGGTTGGGAGTTTGAGACCAGCCCGACCAACATAAAGAAACCCTGTCTCTACTAAATAATACAAAATTATCCAAGTATGGTGGCACATGCCTGTAATCCCAGCTACTCAGGAGGCTGAGGCAGGAGAATCGCTTGAACCTGGAAGGCGGAGGTTGCGGTGAGCCGAGATTGAGCCATTGCACTCCAGCCTGGGAAACGAGTGAAACTCCATCTCAGAAAACAACAACAACAACAACAACAACAACAACAACAACAACAACAACAAAAGACATTTTCAGAAAGGTACAAGGGCAATTAAGATGGTATAACAGGGTGATGGTATAATGATTAATGAGAGAGTTAGCCTTTCTGAAGAGAAGTTGTTGTAGCTAAGGTCCAAATGACAGCAGGAGCTAGTCAAGTGACAATCAGTGAGGAGCTATTGAGGCAGGGACATGGTACACAAGTCAGGCAAAGCTTCCAGGCTGATGGCTTGTGATTGCCACAGAAGGTCAGGGTGGTGCCAGGAGATTTGGCCAGAAAAGAATGATCAAGGTCATTGTTGGCTCTGGTGAAAGCAAGAAAACAATGAAATGTTTAAACAGAAGTCGAACCTGACTTACCTTTTATTTTATTTTATTTATTTATTATTATTATTTTTTTCCTTTCTTTTTTTTTTTTTTTTTTCAGACGCTGGAAACCATAAGTCTGTGTCCAAGGCTGACTTACATTTTAAAAAGATCCTTCTGGGTGTGGTAGCAAGAATGGACTGAGGAGCTAGAGAGGGAGACTGGATGAGGATGCAGCTGGAAAGAGGGACTGATCCTGGGTGTTCTGGAAGGCCTGTTGTTGGGGTATACTAAGAAGGATGAGGGAAGGAGAAATCAAGGACTGGGATGTGAGCTCGAGCTCATGGGTAGGAAGTGCTGCCAATTCTTGAGGGGGAATTAAGGGGAGAAGAGCTCTACTTGTTAAATTTCAGATGCTTGTTTGACATTCAAGTAGGCAAGTAGGCATTTAGATACATAAATCTGGAAATTAAACATAAATTGGGGAATTACATATAGATCTAGGTCACTCTGTTTTCTTTTATTTCTTCTTGAGATGAACTCTTGCTCTGTTGCCCAGGTTGGAGTGCAGTGGTGTGATCTCTGCTCACTGCAACCTCTGGTTCCCAGGTTCAAGAGATTCTCCAGCCTCAGCCTCCTGAGGAGCTGGGATTATAGGTATGTGCCACCGCGCCCAGCTAATTTTTGAATTTTTAGTACAGACGGGTTTTGCTACGTTGCTCAAGCTGGATCCGCCCACCTTGGCCTCCCAGAGTTCTGGGTTTACAGACAGGAGCTACTGCTCCTGGCCTAACTCATTCTGTTTAAAAATCTTCATAGCCTTGTGCCTTACTGATATACCATCAGCCATATAATAAATAGCTCCATTCATTGATAAACTAGGTGGATCCCAGCTTATAGAAAAATTATTACTACCTATATTTCAAGCAATGCACAACGAAAATTTCTATTCAATACCTTAGTGCCATTTGTGCACTATAAGTTCAGTTCTAAAAGCAGAATTGCTGAGACTAAGGATATGTGCATTTTACATTTTTTTGCACTTTACATTTTGACAAAAATCTTTAGAAGTATTTGCCTCTGTGTTTGCAGCAACTCTGATGTTTTCTCACATTCATGCTAACACTATAGTTTTGTAGATCTAGTCGTGGAAAAATGGTATCTCACTATTTCAATTTACATTTCTTTGGAGTGGGATTGAGTTTCTTTATATCTGCTAGCCATCTGCCTTTGTTCTTCATACATTCATTGATTTGATATTGAAGTTTGTCCAGAGATTCCTTGTGTCCCCATAGGTGCCTGATTCAGGGGTCCTGTACTAAGGCATGGACAAGATGGTGAGCTCTCTGTTGCCAGGGACCTGGCGCTTTTCATCCTGTGCGCTTAGCACCTGGCAGAGGTCCTAGAGGGCTCCTGGTCTGCGCTGGGAAGGTGAGGAATGCAGGGTTGGGGGTTGAGGTGGGGTAGGTTGTGCAGAGGAAAGGCACAGGTGAGAAGTGGGGGAAGGGGAAGAAGGCTGGCCGGATGATAAAGGCCTAGGAAAGGCATCCAGATTTCACTGGGTGCAGGGCTTTTTAAAACTGATGTTAGAAAAACTTTACTTGCTGTTGCAAAAAACCATCTGTGTGAAGTAGAAATTGGTATCAGTGTACAGAATACATTCTAGAAAGTAGAGGTAGCTTGATGTAAAATTCTGGCAGCAGTTTAACATCCCAGATGGTTAGGTTGAGGTCAACACCTAATGAGAAAAAAAACCCTTTTCTATGGGAAATTTTGGACAATTATAGGAGAAATATTACAGTGTGCATAAACCAAACTGAATTGTTTTCAAAAGTGTTGTAAAGTTTCATGTAATAAAAAGGTTTTAGCCACATGTCCTTCAATTTCGTGGCATCGAATATATAAACACAGTAGAGAGCATGCATACAAGATATTTAACTCCCTTACATGATAATGCATGCCATTCAAAACTGTCAATGCCATCTAGGGCTCTCTGCAAGTAGGAGACGATTGATGTTATGAAAAGCATAGCCCCCATTATCAACACATGAAGCCTCCATCACCTCCTATGTGTTTTCCTTTTTTGCGTGTTTCTTCTCTTTTTCTTTCTTTGTTTCTTTTTTTTTTTTGAGACGGAGTTTTACTCTTGTTGCCCAGGCTGGGGTGCAACGGCACGATCTCGGCTCACTATAACCTCTGCCTCCCGGGTTCAAGCGATTCTTTTGCCTCAGCCTCCTGAGTAGCTGGGATTACAGGCATGTGCCACCACGCCCCGCTAATTTTGTATTTTTGTAGAGACGGGGTTTCTCCCTGTTGGTCTAGGTGATCTCGAACTCTGGACTTCAGGTGATCCGTCCGCCTCAGCCTCCCAAAGTGCTGGGATTACAGCCACCGTGCCTGGCTGCGTTTTCTTCTTTTTAAAAATCAACTCTGTTGTTGTTGATGCTGCTTAGCCAAACGAGTAAAAACAAAATTGCAATCATTGATGCATCACTCAGAGAATCCCCAAACTTCCTGTCGAGGAATCCTCTCGGCCTCTCTCCAGCGGGCTTCCAAAAGTTGCAAAACTACCGAGGGCGCCTGGCCAGGCGCTGGCAACAGCACTCCGGAGTCTGAGCTCCCACCCAGAGGCCACAAGGTCTCTCAACAGCCAGGACCGGTGGAAGGGCCGCCCTTTTTTTTTTTTTTTCCCGTATTCTCCATGGGAGCGGGAACAAAAAACGAAACCAAAACCTGCCTGCTCGGTCCACTCCCCACCCAGCGCGTTTCTCTGGCTGTGGGCTTCCTGCGGCCGCCGAGGGCGCGTTTCTGCTCTGACATGGCAAGTTGCTTTTGCTTTGGGATTTGCGGTGCAGTTCTGTGCCTGTACCGTCGCCATGGTCCCCTAGAAAGGCGCGGAACAGGGCGGGACGGCCCAGCGTGCAGGGCTGCGCGGGAAGGGGTGGCGCGCGGAGGGGCCCTGGCGGACCTGGGCGCGCAGTCCACCCCGGCGGGCAAACGCAGGTCAGCGGTGCGGCACCTTCCCGGGTGGCGGCACTGCGCGCTCCTGAAATTCACATTCGGCGGTGAGGCATTCGCCCGCTCCAGAGGCGCAGGACGGGGCTCACACTGCAGGGGCGACCGGGACGCCACCGTTTCGTTGAGAAGTTGCTTCGCAGGCTGTTAGGGCCTAACTCTTGTCCTCCCACGCCTCGGGGCAGCAAAAGTGCACCGATTATCCGGAACTGGAGGCCACAGCTGCCTTTTGCAAAGGGCTAGTAAGAATGATTCGAGCCAAGGACGCAAGTCAGGAAGACATCCTGATGTCTTCTGTCTGCCTTGGTGCGAATTCTTATCTTCTGTGGTCTTAGTTCTTCCTCCAGAGACACAAAGAGCGCCGTGGTTTTACCATCAGTGCTGGTGAGGAAGAGGAGTTAGCAAATTCAAAATTTAGCCATCTATGTTTTGTTTTGTTTCCATCAATCGCTTAAAAGCCTTGGCAAGGCCTTTAATTCCTGCTCTGAAACCGTAGAGACCCGGAAATGCAAAAGCAACTGTGAGAGGCGATTGCGTTTTTGTTGACCTTGTGGCAGTAAAGGCATCGTCAATAAAAATAAACAACTGATTTTGAGAAGATTAATATAAACAAATGCAGCAAATGAATCTTCTGATTGTTTCTTCCCAGTGCCTTGCTTACAAAAGTAAGAATATACATTATGCTTTCTGGTAAGATGGCCAAGTTTGTTGTAACATAACACTGATGCAGGGAAAAGCGCCATCACCTACTATCTCTTACCTAAAAGCTGCTCTTGTGTCAGAGTTCTTGAAAGGACTGTCTTTCTCTAGGACATTTCTTTATCTTAATATTGGGTAGAAGAGATTAATAAGTGTCATTATTCATAATTGACCTCAGTAAAATTATCTGTGTTAGTCATACTTTCTCCAACCTATGAAAGGAAGTTAAGGACAAATATTGGCAGGTCACTGAAGTACTAATTCATTAGATGATTCATAGAAACTATTTCTTAGAAAACAAAATTTACATCTTTTTTTTTTTCTCCTAAAAATACTGGCTCAGGGAGAAGTTTCTTTAATTTTAAAGATTAATTACATGTAGACATTTGAATGAAGAAATATGGTATTAGTACTAATGAGGACATAGAACTGACGGAAGATTTTCTGAGTTTAAATTGATTGCATGTTTTTCTTTGATATTGTTGGGGAGCAGAAAACTATCTCCTGGCAGGGCACGGTGGCTCACGCCTGTAATCCCAGCACTTTGGGAGGCCAAAGCAGGCAGATCACTTGAGGTCAGGAGTCTCTATTAAAAAATACAAAAATTAGCTGGGCGTGATGGCAGCCAACTGTAGTCTCAGCTACTCGGGAGGCTGAGGTGAGAGGATCACTTGAGTCCAGGAGGTGGAGGTTGCAGTGAGCCAAGATTGTGCCATTGCACTCCAGGGTGACAGAGTGAGACTCCGTCTAAAAAAAAAGAGAGAAAAAAGAAAATGGTCTCCCCAAAGAAATAAAAACAAAGGCCGGGCGAGGTGGCTCACACCTGTAATCCCAGCACTTTAGGGAGGCCGAGGCTGGCAGATCACCTGAGGTCAGGAGTTCCAGACCAGCCTGACCAACATGGAGAAACCCCATCTCTACTAAAAACACAAAATTAGCTGAGCTTGGTGTTGGTGCATGCCTGTAATCCCAACTACTCCGGAGGCTGAGGCAGGAGAATCACTTGAACCCAGAGGCGGAGGTTGTGGTAATGCCATTGCATTCCAACCTGGGCAACAAGAGCGAAACTCTGTCTCAAAAAAAAAAAAAAAACCAGAAAGAAAGAAAGAAAACCAAATGCAGTGAGTCAATCTTCCGTTTCTCCCTAGTGCTTTACTTAGAAAAATAAGCAGTTTTTCTTTATACCTTTTTGCTTTCTGATATGATGGCTCTGCCTTTATTCTTAAGTTGACAGGGTTGAGCATTTCTATTTTTTTGTATTTAAATATGGTTATATTTAAATCTTCAATATTTTTATTTTTATTTTTGAATCAGACTCTCACTCTGTCACCCAGGCTGGAGTGCAGTGGTGTGATCTAAGCCTACTGCGACTTCCACCTTCCTAGTTCAAGCAATTCTGGTTCCTTAGCATCCAAAGTAGCTGGTAATTACAGGCACCTGCAACCACACTCAGCTAATTTTTTGTATTTTTAGTAGAGATGGGATTTTGCTATGTTGGCCAGGCTGGTCTAGAACTCATGATCTCAAGTGATCTGCCCACCTCAGCTTCCCAAAGTGCTAGGATTACAGGTGTGAGGCACTGCACCTGGCTTTCTTTTTTTGAGACGGAGTTTTGCTCTTGTTACCCAGGCTGGAGTGCAATGGCGCGATCTCAGCTCACCGCAACCTCCATCTCCTGGGTTCAGGCAATTCTCCTGCCTCAGCCTCCTGAGTAGCTGGGATTACAGGCACACGCCACCATGCCCAGCTAATTTTTTGTATTTTCAGTAGAGATGGGGTTTCACCATGTTGACCAGGATGGTCTCGATCTCTTGACCTTGTGATCCACCCGCCTCGGCCTCCCAAAGTGCTGGGATACAGGCGTGAGCCACCGTGGCTGGCCCTCCTGGCCTTTTTTTTTTTTTTTTTTAAAGATTTAGCGGGTTTGGTCTAAAAGTGAAAAACTGATAATGATGTAAACAGTAAATATTGATTATAGCAGGTCCCAATAGTGTGCTGTGATTACTTTTTATCCTTTTGGTTCAATGCTATGTGTATTTTTCCTTTTCTACTTCTAGGAAAATATTTCCAGGAAATGGGTCAAATGTATTTTTTCTTCCTTTTTTTTTTTTTTTTTTTTGAGATGAAGTCTTGCTCTGTAGCCCAGGCAGTCTGGAATGCAGTGGTTTGATCTTGGCTCACTACAACCTCCACCTTCCGGGTTCAAGTGATTCTCTTGCCTCAACCTCCCAAGTAGCTGGGACTACAGGCATGTGCCACCACACCCAGCTAATTTTTGTGTTTTTAGTAGAGATGGGGTTTCGCCATCTTGGCCAGGTTGGTGTCGAACTCCTGACCTAAGGTGATCTGCCTGCCTTGGCCTCCCAAAGTGCTGGGATTACAGGTGTGAGCCCCTGTGCCCGGCTTGCATTTCATAGTTTACTCAAAATCCTGCAAATACTTTAATTTTCTTAAGATTTTTAGGCTGGGGCCCCTTCAAATCCCAGAAATGGGAGAGAACTTGCTCTGGGATATTCATGCTAGCAGGTTCTCTTTGGAGTGTTCATTCAGGCAGGTTTTTTTTTTTTTTTTTTTTTTTTTTTTGAGACAGAGCCTTGCTCTGTCACCCAGGCTGGAGTGCAGTGGTGCTATCTTGGTTTACTGCAGCCTCGATCTCCTGGGCTCCAGTGATCCTCCTAACTCCACCTCTGGAATAGCTAGCTGGGACTACAAGTGTGTACCACCACACATGGCTAATTGTGTGTGTGTGTGTGTGTGTGTGTGTGTGTGTTTGAGGTGGAGTCTTGCTCTGTCACCCAGGCCGGAGTGTAGTGGCGCGATCTGGGCTCACTACCACCTCCTGGGTTCAAGCAATTCTCCTGCCTCAGCCTCCGGAGCAGCAGGGGTTACAGATGAATGCTACCACGCCCAGCTAATTTTTTGTATTTTTAGTAGAGATGGGGTTTCACCATATTGGCCAGGGTGGTCGCAAACTCCTGACCTCGTGATCCACCTGCCTCAGCCTCGCAAAGTGCTGGAAATATAGGCATGAGCCACCGTGCCCAGCCAATTTTTTGTGTTTTTGATAAAAACCAGGTTTCATCATGTTGGCCAGGCTGATCTGGAACTCCTGGCCTCAAGTGATATGCCCACCTTGGCATCCCAAAATGGTGGGCATGAGTCACTGTGCCCAGTTAGGCTTTTCAGGCTTTTTTTTTTTTTGAGACGGAGTCTTCCTCTGTTGCCTAGGCTGGAGTGCAGTGGTGCGATCTCAGCTGACTGCAGCCTCTGCCTCCCGGGTTCAAGTGATCCTCCATCTCAGCCCCCTGAGTAGCTGGGATTACAGGTGCCCACCACCACGCCCAGCTAATTTTTGTATTTTTAGTAGAGATGGGGTTTTAACCATGTTGGTCAGGCTGGTCTGAAACTCTTGATTGCAGGTGATCTGCCTGCTTCTGCCTCCCAAAGTGCCAGGATTACTTACAGGCATGAGTAACCGTGTGCAGCCCAGGGTTTTTTTTTTTTTTATGGTAACTTTCCTGATTCTGACAATAAAAGTAGGGGGATGTGTTTCTTACTGTTTCTCTCTCTCTTTTTTTTGAAATGGAGATTTGCTCTGGTTGCCTAGGCTGGAGTGCAATGGTGTGATCTCAGCTCACCACAATTTCCACTTCCTGGGTTCAAGCAATTCTCCTGCCTCAGCCTCCCAGGTAGCTGGGATTACAGGCGTGTGCCACCACACCAGACTCATTTTGTATTTTTAGTAGATATGGGGTTTCTCCATGCTGCCAGGCTTGTCTTGAACTCCTGACCTCAGGTGATCTGCCTACCTTGGTCTCCCAAAATGCTGAGATTACAGGCATGAGCCACCATGCCTGGCCTCTTAACTGTCTTATGTACTTTGGACTCTACGATTTAAAGAAAACATACAGCCACCTTCAAATACTGTATTTTATGGTTAGTTTGACTTATTTTTAATTAATAGTTTTTAAAATTTATGTTTTTGGTCTTTTCCTTTGTAACTTCTTCCATTATTTTTAGGCCTTCCTAAATCAGGCAAATATTAACCAATATTTTCCACTTATTAAAAAAAGGGTGGCCAGGCATGGTGGCTCATGTCTGTAATCCCAGCACATTGAAAGGCTAAGTCGGCAGATCACTTGAGGTCAGGAGCTCAAAACTAGCATGGCCAACAGAGTGAAACCTCACCTCTACTAAAAATACAAAAATTAGCTGGGTATGGCAGCAGGCGCCTGTAATCCCAGCTACTTCAGAGTCTGAATGGCTGAATACTTGAAGCTGGGAGGCAGAGGTTGTAGTCAGCTGAGATTGCGCCACTGCACTTCAACCTGGGTGACAGAGTGAGACTGCATCTTAGAAAAAAAAAGGGTTTAATTTTTACATTTAACTGTCAAATTCATATGGAGTTTGTAAGGCTGGTTGCCTTGCTGGGAGTCAAATGGACACATTCATCACTCTCCGCGCCTGATAACTGCGTCATCACCCGAGCTCATTATCCGGCTTCCCCACATTTTCAGAAAAGGGTTTAATTTTTACATTTAACTCTCAAATTCATATGGAGTTCATGTTAGTATATGGCGTGAGGCAAGGATTTACTCCCCTGCACCCCTTTTAAAAAAGTATGTAACCAACTGCACCAGCACTTTTATAGAATAAGATATTCTCTCCACTGGAGTGTGATGTTGCCTTTGTTAAGTAGAGTCTTGTATGTTTAAAGAGTAACTTACTGTTTCTCTTACAGGCATCAGTTTTGAATGTCAAGGAATCCAAAGATTCTGAAAGAACAGTTATAGTTGCTGGTCTTCCAGTTGGCCTTTTTATTGATCAATTATTGGTCATATTAGTGAAGAAGCACTTCCAAGACATTAAGAATGAGGGTGGAGATGTTGAAGATGTGATATATCCAACAAGAACCAAGGGAGTTGCATATGTAATATTCAAAGAAAAGAAAGGTATTTCCAAATCACATTTTTGTAATTTTAGAAATACTTCTTCAATGAAATTTGAAAATTACATTACGTTAAAATGATTCATGGAATTGGTAAATTTTAAAGTAGCTTTTTTTTTTTTTTGAGATGGAGTCTTGCTTTGTTGCTCAGGCTTGAGTGCAGTGGTGCGATCTTGGCTTACTGCAACCTCCACATCCTGGGTTCAAGCGATTCTCCTGCCTTCGCCTCCTGAATAGCTGGGATTACAGGTGCCCACTGTCACACTGGCTGATTTTTGTATCTTTAGTAGAGATGGGGGTTTCACCATGTTGGCCAGGTTGGTCTCGAACTCCTGTCCTTAAGTGATCCACCTGCCTCGGCCTCCCAAAGTGCTGGGATTACAGGCATGAGCCACCATGCCTGGCTAAAGTAGCTTTTATTAAAAAAGATTTTATTGTGAATATACAAGTGGCATGATAGTGCTTTAGGAAGAAAAGATATGAAAATGGCTCATGATAAAGTGACTGGCAAATTCTTGTTTCTGTATTTTGAATCTGTCTATATCTTGGGGTGAAAGTGTTACATTTTATTTTAGAAAACCTGTAAAATACAGACAAAATGGAGAAAACCCCCACAAAGTTTATATGTAATTTCATAAACAAGATTACTACTTCGGGAATTTTCAGGTAGCTTCAACTATATATTTTAGAATAAATGGATATTTTAGTATAGTATCTGTCTTATTACTGGCAAAGTTGAACTGAGAAGCGTGGCTTGGATCTGAGATCTGATTGACCCATTCTCCTCCCTACACCTAATCCCTGACTTAGATGGTGAGAAAGTTGGGTTGGCAGAGCACACAAACCCCTTCAGCCTCACGGAATGGGCAACCTTCTTTATTAGAGGCTGGCAGAAAATACATTGCCAGAGGAAAACAAGTCTCTGTGCCAGCCTCTTAGAGGTGAACATACCATATTGAGGGCAGGAGCAAGGAAGAGCTTGCTTTGCTTGAGGGAAGTCAGAGTCCAGAGAAAGATCCAAGGCATATGGATTTTCAGTACCTTTAGCTGTCACCATTATTTAAATAATTCCTTCTCATTGGGGATGTTCAAGTAAGGGATGGCAGGAGGGGCTCAGGGGCTCATTGTTTCTCTAAGGAGATGGTAGCATTTTTGAAATTTAGTATTTTATATGTTGAATTGGCACCTCAGAGAGAGACCGAGGCCTCGGTGATTCATTCATAAATATTTTCTGAGTACCTATTATTTACCAGGCAACATGCTAGGCCTTGAGGATACAGCAATGAGTGAAATAGACAAAGCCTTTTTTTCTTTTAATGTACATCTGGACAGATACTAAACAAATAAATCTATAATATGTTGGGTGCTTTATTTGTGTAAAATTTAGATATTTGTTTATTTAACTTTATATTTATGATTATACATTTATAAATAACAAGATATAAAGCTTGAACAGAGGCCTGAATGAAGTAAGGGAATGATTCATGCAGATAAGTGGGGGGAACATTCTAGGCCAGGGAAGGACTTGTAGTTCTGTGAGTGGGGAGCATTCTGTGTGTGTGGAAGAACAGCAAGGAGGCCTGTGTGGCTGGCTGGAGGGCAATGAGCAGGGGGAGAGTGATAGGCAATGTGGTTAGATGGGGCCAGTTTATGCTCAGTAACCACTGGATCATGGCAAGGTGTCTGGGATTTTATTCTGGGTGAGAGGGAAGGTTTCACATGGGGGATTAACAAGATTGGACTGCCTTTTCTTAAATAAGCAGCATAGCAGCTGTTTGAAGGACAGGAGTTACTACTTATAATTGGCTTGTTAGGGCAGTAGCAGGGCAGGTGATAAGAACTGGTGGGTATTCGGGACATGTTGATGGATTAAATGTCATTTTCTGTGGTGGAGAACACTGGGGATGGAATATATTTGGGAGGGAGATATTTATCAAGAGTTCAGTTTGAGTCAATGAGATGCCTATTAGGATAATGAAGTGGAGAGTTCTACAGGCAGAAGGGAGAAAGATTGAGGCTGAAGATAGAATTTTGAAAGCGATTCATATAGAGATGGTGTCTAAAGCCATGGAGATTGCTGCAGTCTCCACCCAGGGGACGGGTATATGTTAGCAAAGAAGCATGAGCCTGAGGTCCAGGTCTTGCCAACGTCTAGAGAATGGGAAGAGAGGAGGATTAGGAAGGAGACTCAGCAGGTCAGCCAATGAATTGGGAGGAAAACCAGAACAGTATGATATCTTGGATCAAGAATGTAACATCTCCTTTGACCGGAAAGAGATGGGGATATACCTTTATATTTTTGTTTTTTATTCATGCATATAATACCTTGTATGTTTTATAACATGTGATTAGGATCATATTTACACATAAAATAAACTTCAATATGTTAAAGTGCAACAAAAAAGTGATTTGACTGTTGAATTTAGAGGAAAAATATAGACAAAATTGTAGACATTCTTATATAATATAATTGAGTATGTCCATTTTTATTAAAATATTATTAGTGTATCATGCCATAAACACTTCTGATGCCAGTGTTTCCACTTAGTTGCAGAGAATGTCATCAGACAAAAGAAACACTGGCTAGCAAGGAAGGCTGGACACACTGAACTCACAGTCTCTCATTTTAGTGACAAGGTAAGGTGTGATGCTGAAGGTGTGCTGATAGTCCTGGATCCCATTTCCTATGTCAGGAGACACGAAGTGCTCTCACTCCATGACTTCTAGGAAAGAAAATGTAAACTCCCTGAGTCAGTGTTAAAGGCCAACCCTGGCATTGGTTATTATTGCCTCCTCTGTTTTTATCTTTATATGTGTGTCAATGTTTTATTTTAAAAAAACATATATTTCTTAAGACAAGGTCTGGCTGTCATTCAGGCAGTGGCATAATCTTGGCTCACTCTAACCTCTGCCTCCTGGGCTCAAGTGATTCTCCTGCCTCAGCCTCCCGAGTAGCTGGCTGGACTACAGGTGTGCACCACCAGGCCTGGCTAATTTTGTAGTTTTTGTAGAGACAGGGTTTCCCTATGTTACCCAGGCTGGTCTCAAACTCCTGGACTCAAGCAATCCTGTCACCTCAGCCCCACAAAGTGCTGGGATTACAGGGGTGAGTCATCATGCCCAGCCTCGCTTAATGCTTTTAAAGTGATGGTAAGCACTTATACTGTCATGGATGATGCCACGTACCAACCTAAACAATTAGAATGAATATTAAAAAGGGGCTTTGAAGAGATAGGAAGTAAGAAAAAGAGGAAAAAGTTAAAGTCATGGTTTACTAACTTGATTCTTTTTTTTTTTTGAAACGGAGTTTCACTCTTGTTACCCAGGCTGGAATACAATGGCGTGATCTCAGCTCACTGCAACCTCTGCTTCCTGGGTTCAAGTGATTCTCTTGCCTCAGCCTCCCGAGAGTAGCTGGGATTACGGGTGCATGCCACCACATCTGGCTAATTTGTATCTTTAGTAGAGACAGGGTTTCTCCATGTTGGTCATGCTGGTCTTGAACTCCCGACCTCAGGTGATCCGCCCACCTTGGCCTCCCCAAGTGTGGGATTACAGGTGTGAGCTACTGTGCCCGGCCACTAACTTGATTCTGTAAGACACTCAAAGTTGTGTGCAGCCATCTGATGAACTTCAGACTGGGGGCAGGAACGACTCTTGGGGAACCCCAATCCAAGCAGCACCAGAACAGTTTATATGTATGGGTTCTGCATAAGACTGTTTCAAAAAAGAATTGTGCCTCTAAAAATTATTTGAGCACGTCTGTTTTGGGGTATGTGATGAGGGACTGTGAATCCCAAATTGAACAAAATGGGATCACTGTGATGGGCCACCGTGGTGCAAGGAATCAGAAGTCTGGGACAGGCAACTGGGGCCTGGTTTAATGCAATTTCAGCAAAGGCAAGAAAGTTGCAGAAAAGAACATGTTTATGTAGTCTCTCCTACTAGGCAGTACTATTTTCATTTCTCTCTTTCTAATTTTAGATCTTCAGCTCTGTAAATGCCATCCTTGATCTTTCTGTTTTTGGGAATGAAGTTACTCTAGAAACTCTGGTAAAGGACCTGAAAAAGAAAATCCCCACTTTAAGCTTCAGTCCTTTGAAACCCAATGGAAGAATCACCGTGGAAGGATCATTTCTGGCTGTCAAGAGGCTCAAAGAATCTTTGCTAGTAAGAGCAAGCTCTTTCTTAGAAAAAAACAGAAATTTTACCAGTGAGGGAAGAAAGTGGAATAGACGAAATCCCCAAAAGAATCTACAGAGAAGTAATAACTATTTGGTGTCAGTCAGGACCTTAGTACCTGAGACTGCTAGAAATGGAGAGATGCTTGTGCTTGACACAGACATTTTTCTTTACCTGAAACACAGGTGTGAATTTTATGAAAGCACACTGAAAAAATTCCACATTCTTAGTGAGGAGAAAATAGACGGTGAAATCACCACCATTTACTTAAAAAACTTTCAAGTTGGTTCTCAGCCAAATAATGCAAAACATGTAAAAGAGCTCATTGAGGAATGGTCACATGCTCTTCACTTAGAGCTTAGAAAAGAGACATTTATTTTGAAAGGAAAGGAAAATAGAGAGAAAAGAATGATCAAATCAGCATGTGAACAATTAAGTTCGAGATACCGTGGAGTCCTGACGAGCTTTTATAGGACACACATTGACATTATAGGATCTTCTTCTGACACTTACCTGTTTAAAAAAGGGGTCATGAAATTAATAGGACAAAAGGTTAGTTAATAAAATCTTAGCAATATCGTGTTAAGGGCTGCTTTCTCTTGCTGAGCGGTGACCATTGCCATGAATGAGGCTAGCTTTACACACCCTATTTCATTAATCCTTATGCTTGCTCAAACTTCCTTGTCAGTGTTAGCAATCCTCATGTTATAGTGAAATAAACTAAGATTTGGAGAAGTTAAAACACTTTTCTGAAGTTATCCAGTTGACAAGGAATGAGGCTGGGGCTTAGCCTATTCTATCTGATTACAAAGATAATATCAAAGGAATAAAACTTTGAAAAAAACTCACCAAACTTTGAAGGAAGCTTACTTTCTCTGTAACTCCAAATGATTAGAAAATGATAATTATTAAGAAGTAGCCTTAACATATGAGAAGTTTGAAAGATGATTATTATGCCATGGGCAAATTTTTTTTTTTTTTTGAGACGGAGTCTTGCTCTGTCGCCAGGCTGGAGTGCGGTGATGCAATCTCAGCTCACTGCAACCTCCGCCTTCTGGGTTCAAGTGATTCTCCTGCCTTAGCCCCCTCAGTAGCTGGGATTACAGGCATGTGCCACCACGCCCAGCTAATTTTTGTATTTTTAGTACAGACGGGGTTTCACTATGTTGGCCATGATGGTACTGATCTCCTGACCTTGTGATCTGCCCGTGTTGGTGTCCCAAAGTGCTGGGGATACAGGTGTGAGCCACCGTGACTGGCCACCATGGTCAATTTTTTAACTTTTGCAGTTTGTGTTTACTCCATGTAAAATTAGAATACTGGCAAAAATCACTTGGGAAACTACTTAGATGGAAAGCATTTCTGATGTACACAATCATTATTTGACTAAATTCTATTGTTTCAAGGCTGCTGGCCACATAGGATGTTTTTGCTACTACTTATTTAGCCCAAGTGTCTACATAAAATGTTATTTCTTTTGTTATAATTCTGCAAGTTGATCTTATGAACTGGGTTATTCTTGTCACACCCAACTAAAATAGTCAAGAAGCTAGGGGGGAAAAATACTTGGGACACATAACATTGCTTCAAGAATGTAATTCTCTGTGAGCCTGGCTACTGAAACTGCTTGCCGTAACCTGAGACCAGTTTTGTCTATAGCTGCTGAGATAACTTGCTGTAACTCTAGACTAATTTTTCCCTACAGCCATTGCCCACCAATTGGAGCTTGCCAGCTCCTCAGAGCTTTACTGATACCAATGAACTTTCTCTTAAGGCCACAAGTAACATTCTTCTTTTTAAATAAAACCCTCAACCTTCTCTTTGTTCTTTGGACATACTAAAGATCACCTAGAATTGAAATTCTTTCTTCTGAAATAAAACATTTAAATTTAGAGTTTTGTGTGTACATTTTTATTTTGACTTTGACATACATGGTATCAGAAGTGGGACACAAAGCCGACTCACCTAAGGGAGAATCACTGGCCATTGGAGCTATGGCATGAGGCATCCATATTGAGGCCCTTTGAAACCCCCACATTCCCACCACTCTTACAGGTCCCCCTTTCTCCCTCCAGTGATTATCTCTTGGACAGAACTCTCAAATACGTTTTGAGTTCTGTTTTATTTGGAATATGGTTCAGAGGGGTCTTTCTCCTTCTTGTTTGGTAGATCTGTTGGGTAGTTATTTTCCCTCTGTTGACCTCGGTGTCATGGATTGGACCTTGAGATTTGGGTGAGGGAATTTTCCCTTTCTTTGGAGAGGGCTTATCCTTACTGGTAAGTATATGCTTTTTTTTTTCTGTCTGGCCTTGTATCTATTTGGCCTTTGTGTATTCAGTGCTTGCATTTAATTGGCTTTTATATAGTTGGCATTAAATCAAAGCAACTATAAAATGAGCTCTCAAAGTTCAAAGGCATCTCAGAATATTTTCTAGAACTCCAGCTGATAACATATTCAAACATTATTGGAATCCTGTAGTCTGTTGTTGTTAAAACTAAACGAAAATATGGAGGCTATAAAATCATATACTCCAAGTAAGATATGCATATCTCATTGATATCCTGAGGCAAAAAAACAAAAACAAAACTAAATACATTCATGATGCAAATATTGCCTTGTTAAAAAATACTGTCGGCTGGGCATGCTGGCTCACACCTGTAATCCTAGCACTTTTGGGAGGCTGAGGTGGGTGGATCACCTGAGGCTGGGAGTTCAAGACCAGCCTGACTAACATGGAGAAACTCTGTCTCTACTAAAAATACAAAATTGGCTGGGTGTAGTAGTGCATGACTGTAGTCCCAGCTACACGGGAGGCTGAGGCAGGAGGATCACTTGAACCTGGGAGGTGGAGGTTGTGGTTAGCCAAGATCACACCATTGCACTCCAGCCTGGACACCAAGATCGAAACACCATCTCAAAAAAATAAAAAATAAAAAATACAGTCTCAAAGGTGGCTGAAACTTTTTCTTTCCCAGACCTTTCCCCTCCCCTTCTTATAATTCCCCCGCTTTATCCTTCACTAAACAGCTATTCTAACATACTATTTAATAAAAACACTTGAAAACCAGCAGATAGAAAGTCATTTTGACCTTAATGCTGTTTTTTTTCAAGCAAAGATTACATTCCATTGTAAAACCTTCCCTATACAAAAAAGAATGGCATCATTCTTATCTTCAGTGGCAAAGAATTGAGTCCAAGAAAATATTGTATAAACCGTGTTAAAAATCACTCTCGTCGTTTGGTCCTCCTCACATAATTCAGCCATACTTTCACAGTTAACTATTCTTTGTTCAATTTAGTGCATTGGTAACTGAGTCAAACTGCTTTATCCCAAATTTCATTCACAGTCTTTATAAGATTACCTATTAAAAAAGCTTAAAGCTTATCCTTAGTGCATTTTGTCAGAAAAATAATTTGCATGTGATAATCTTTATAAACTGGTAAATTTACGAGTTTTATTATATTACGACTAAAATTCTAAAGTTCTAATATGTTTATGTGTATGTATGTATATTATGTCGTATGTTGTATCTACATAAAATCTGGTGTAGTCAGAAATCCCTTAAGAAATTTTATTCTGATTGGTTTAAATAAATGAGCACTCATATAAAATGTATAGTAATTAACCCCCCAATTTTTTTAGTTGATGTGACTTAAGTTAATCTTTGATGAAATAATTGGTTTTAAAATTGTGGATAAAATAAGATTAGAAAATGTCTTCAAAATTGTCAGCAGACATTTTTATCTGGGTTTACTGGTCACACAGTTTTATATTTGCCTTTGCTAGATGTTTTAAGATCATAAAGCCTAAAACAAAATGATCTTTGTTTATGTAATTTTTAAATAAATATGATTAGTTTAACATTGTTGATTTAATAAAAATAGCTATAACTTCTGAGTTATCAACAGGCTGGCCATTTTTAACTTTAAGGTTCTTACTTAAATGTTAATATCAAGATAAACACTTGATGTTAAGTCTATAAAACAAGTTAATAACAAAAATGCTAGTTCTATCTCAATTTTCATAAATCTAGGAATAATAATTGAAAAATAAATAAATCCTGTAATTATAAATAAAATAAACACTTATGAATGAGCTCTTCATGTAATTTAAAAATCTTAAAATTATGTCAAATGAAACTCATTAAATGTCTGCATCATATCTAGATTTAAAAAAGAACAAATTGCCATATACATAGATGTTTGTTCTTAGTTTCTTAAGTTTTGTAAAGGGACTAAAAGTATTTAAGTCTATGAATCAAAATATAAATTTAGGAAAATACAATTGGTATATTTAAAAGAGATGGTAAATTTTCATCCTAAGATAAAATAATTGGTTGTCAAAAATCTTATTTTTTATTTTTTGAGATGGAGTTTTGCTTTTGTTGTCTAGGCTGGAGTGCAATGGTGCAGTTGTGGCTCACTGCAACCTCTGCTTCCTGGGTTTAAGCGATTCTCCTGCCTCAGCCTCCCAAGTAGCTGGGATTACATGTGCCTGACATCAAACCTGGCTAATACAATTTTTTTTTTTTAAATTATAGGAGTAAGATTTGGGTTTGAGGAAAATCGTAAAAGGTCTAAACAAGTCAAAAAAGATTTATAAAAGATGGACCTTATGAAAGAGGATTTATATGTGATGACGTTGGCCAGGATTGGAAATAAATTTCTTATATGTTTTCCAAAATTTAAAATTGGTGTCAGGTGTTCACTAATACAGAACAAGAGTCTAGTCCCCTCTACTTAAAACAATAGAGTTTTTTTTTAAAGTATTCATCTGCTTTTATTAAAATTGCAAGTAGTTTTAATTTTTAATTCTAAAATCAGTTTCTTTATAGCCATCTTCTTCCTGAGATCTATTTGATTTCCCTAACTTCAGGTTAAAAATGCTCTCTTCATTTAAAATGGTAATTTCATTCCTTGAGGTGGAGTTTTGCTTTTTAAATTTTCAGATTTATAGCTCGGAGATTTGACTTTTTCTGTATCTCACTGAATGTGATTTGCAGGTCATATAACATTGCCATCAGCTTTTTCTCCCCTTGAGAAGGCATAGGACGATAACTTTCTCTACTCTTGGCTTTTATCTTGATATGTCTAAATTGTTCCATGTAACAAGGAAATTTCCCTTGCTGTTACTAAGGGACCTGTATTTTCCTGCTCAAGATACTGGTTTTTCTTGTTCACAATCCTCTGTAATACTCTGTACCTTCATAACTTTGGACACATTCTTCCTGTGTCTAATTAAATTCAAGTAATCTTTCATCAGGCTCAGCTTCCAGGTTATCTAAATCTCCCATGAGGAGAAACGATCACATTGTAGCATTTTTTTTTCTCTCTTTTTGGTAGCTGGCTGAAGAAACAAATATTTTACATCTTATCAAGGTAATTTCCTGTGTTGTCCTTATTAGATTTTGATTACTTAAAGAAACTGAGCCTTAAAGGGTTAAGGTTTTTACATCCATGTCACTTTCTGCACTGTTTTTGAAGTCTTTAGTTTACCACCCTGGTTGAATGAATGACTTATTTTACAGGGTCCTCTGATTCTGTTTTGATCAAGTGTTTTGGATCTTTTAACATCTTTGACAAACTTCTCCAAAATGAAATTCTAATTCAAGTCTCTTTAACTGAGAATTAACTTGGGATTTTCCAGTTGGACCCCTGGAAAGCCTCAAAAGATGTATCTCTTAACTTGTAGAGATATTAAATAATTAGGCTTACTAGGTAAATTACATAAGAAACATTGTCAAATGATAAGGTTATAGTAGATATCTTTTAGTTGCATTTATGGGTATGCTGTTGATATTTATTCTTTGGTGTTTTGTTTTGTTTTGAGACAGAGTCTTGCTCTGTTGACCAGACTGGAGTGTAGTGGCTCAGTCTCTGCTCTCTGCCGCCCGGATTCAAGTGATTCTCCTGCCTCAGCCTCCCAAGTAGTTGAGATTACAGGCACCCACCACCATGCCCAGCTAATTTTTTTGTATTTTAGTAGAGACAGGTTTTTACTATGTTGCTCAGGCTGGGTCTCAAACTCCTAAGCTCAGGCGATCCACCTGCCTCAGCCTCCCAAGGTGCTAGGATTACAGGTGTGAGCCACTGCACCTGGCCTGCTGATAATATTAATGTTTTAAAAATTTATAAACTTGTAGAAATCTAATATGTTACGGTCATAATTTTGGTTGTTGTCTTAAAATACTATATGTAATAGACACAAGTAAATTTCCTTGTTAAACTTTCATCATATTTTTAACCATGGCCATTCTAATTTTTTGTCATCCACAGTTATTGTTTTGAATTCTTCTCTAAATACATTTACAATCAGATTTATGGAAAAGACTCCAACAAGCACCCTTAAATACAGATTTCTGATAACTTTAAGATCAATGGACTAAGTAAAAATGTCCAGAGGCCAGGCGTGGTGGCTTATGCCTGTAATCCCACCACTTTGGGAGGCTGAGGTGGATGGATTACCTGAGGTCAGGAGTTCCAGGCAAGCCTGGCCAATGTGGTGAAACCCTGTCTCTACTAAAAATACAAAAAATTAGCTGGGCATGGTGGCACGGGCTTGTAATCCTGGCTACTTCGGGGGCTGAGACAGGAGAATTGCTTGAACCTGGGAGGCAGAGGTTGTGATGAGCAGAGATCGTGCCACTGCACTCCAGCCTGGGTGACAGAGTGAGACTCCAACTCAATAATAAAAAAAAAGGCCAGAGCTCTAATAAAAAAAGACCTGATGGATTAACGAAACTACTTATGGACATTAAACACAAAATATTGAATGCATGAGATTGAATAACTGATGAAAATAATGTTTTTATGATATTCATTTAAAACATTATTGGTTTGTTACTTAAATGACTTGTTTTCCAGATTTAAGAAACCTTTCTCTCTAAAGCT